GCGAGCTCCCTCCCACTCCACCGGCTACAGGTGCCACGGCCTGAGGAACCATAAGCCACAGCCAGAGCACAAGTCGTCATGGAGACGACCATCCCTCCCCTTCACATCTCATGTCACAGGCACGAAGCACCACTTTACCCGCTAACAAGCAGCTCTGTCAAGACAGAATGCGTTATTCCCATTTTCCAGATGAGGAAAACTGAGGCTCAGAGAGGCGAACTGCCTATTCCAGGTCATAAACTCAAACCAGCTCTTCTTACCCTTACCCTGTCCCCATGTGTCCCACACGAGTCACGAGCCACGACTCCCACCACCACTCCGGGCAGACCCTCCTCCCCGGCATGGACCCACGCGGCCCCGTCGGAAACATGACCTTGGCAGGCTGTATCAACAGCTCGGAAAATTCATCCTGACACCCCCTCTCTGCCTCCCCGATGTCGGACACGGCTACGTGACTCGCTTTGGCCGACAGAAGGAGGTCAGAAGAGACACCTTCCCAGTTCCAAGCGGAGGCCTTCCGAGGCACCGCAGGTTCCCGCTGGGCGCCCTGGCCGGCTGCTGCCTGCCAGCCTGGGTATCAAGATGTAGATACACGGGGCAGACACGGACCCAGAGGCTGGAGTCCAGCCTGCCGGCCAAGCCCGGCCACCACTGGCAGACCCACAACCATGGCACCGATGCTGGCTATTAAAGGCCGCTGCAATTTGGGGGAATGTTTGTTAGGCACCGTTACCATAGAAAAACCTGACTAATACAAGGACCGCGTACCTCCAGAAGGAAGCGTGTGGACTTGTGTAGACATGGGCAAATAATACCTTCCAAGACACAGTCCCCAGCCAGTTGGATTCAAAACAAAGAGCCACAAAACCTGCTGCCTGGAGGAACTGTAGCCTTCCATACAGCCACGCCAGGGGCTGTATCCGATGGCCACTGATAAGACACAGCCGGCCACTGCGCGCGCTCGCTGCAATGTACAAACGGGGTGCCTCTCTCTCCCCTCTCTCTCTCCTCTCTCTCTCTCTCTTTCTCTCTCTCTCACACACAGCCTTGGTCGGAGTGAGGAAAGTACCACCACTCTGGAGGGAGGGAAACTGGGCAGGCTAGATCACCATTCTAAACGGGCTTTATCCCAGCCTGGGAGAAAGTTCCCCATCCTGAAGCCTGCCCTCCGATCGACCGACCGCAGTGAGTGTGCAGAGGCGTGGACAGGGAAGTTGATTGCAGTGCTGCAGAGTCACAGCGAAAAAAACAACTCAATGTCAGCCAACGGGGGATCTGTCCGCGCCCAACAACAGCACCTTCGCCGCTCAGCTCTCCAAACGGGTGGGCTTAAGCCAACACGTTCGGAAAAGGGGAGCGTGCCCAGATCTATTTTTAACTTAAGTGCGAAATGTATTGTCTTGTGGCTGCTGTGAAAGGGCTATGTCTGCATATGCTGATTCATTTGTTTATTCCAGGGCAGTGATTAACTGGAGGAAACCGGAGTGAATGGAGGCAGAGACGGCGTTTCTGCCTTCCGGGAGGGTAAAGGCTAGAGGAGGAAGAGGCGGGAATACCAAGTCCGCTAAGACCGCCACAAACAACAAGGGTCCTAACAGCAATGCACACGGCTCAGGCATGAACCTGGGCATGTGCTACGTATGACTAGGAATCAAACCAGGACCTCTGGTTCATAGGTCAATGCTCAACCACTGAGTCACACTGACTGGGCAATAAATAATATTTTTAAAAGAGCTTAAGCCAGGCCCTGGCCAGGTCCCCTGGTTGGTTAGAGCGACATCCTGAGAAGCCATGATTGCAGGTTCGATGCCGGGTCAGAGCACATACAAGAATCAACCAATGAATGCATGAGAAAGTGGAACAACAAATCAATGTTCCTCTCTCTCTCTTTCTCTCAATTTAATCAATGAAAAGCAGCTGTCCTGTTATATGCTGTACCCACAGTCTCTCCAATCCTCCCGGACAACCATCCTCTTATCTTCCTCTCGATCTCAAACCTGCTGAAGCTTTCCCGTTTGGGTGTTTAGGGAGGAGCAGGGGCGTGTAAAGAGAATCTTAGCGGCACATGGTCTAACTTACATTCATTCAACACGCCCTTCGTTCCGGATATACCAATCAATACGAGATTCTCCAAATGATCTGTGCCCCTGCCTGTGCTGCTCCTTCTGCCTGGACTGTTCATTCTCCCCTCCTTGCCTCCTCCGCAAAAACTCAGCTGAAGTGTCACCTGTGGTCACCCCCTCACCTCACACCCCCACACACATCCCGCCTGAAACACAGCCTAAGGCCAGACTGTATTCATAATCACGCCCATTGCTCAGTGAGCACAGCAGTGCAGGCACTGCCCAGCATTTCCAGGCACTGGTTCACTGAAGTCACACAGCAAGCCTATCTTGAGCCCATTTTACCGATGAGGAAGCTGAGTCTCAAAACAAGTACCTTGCCCAGGACCACAGCCAGGAAGGGGCAGGGCCAAGATTTGGCTCCAAACCTCCCTGGTTGGCTCCCTCCTTTCCATCCCTGCTTTCTCCAGAAAGCTCCCGAGTTTATCCCTGTTTCCCCTCCCAGGCCCTAACACAGACCTCTTCTTCCCACAGCAAGCTCTCCAATAACTAAACCCTGGACCCCTCTCCCCACTTCCAACCCTCATCCTGAAAGCATCAGCCCCTCCTCCCATTATCACAACTGCCCCTTCTAAACAATTGCTTCTTTTCACAAAGGCTTTACCCCTCCATTAAGGATTCCCGCTGCCAGTGAAGTACTTGTTGAATGGATGAATGATGAATGAATGAATGAATGAATGAACATTTAAAATATTCTGCAGGGGCTCTTTTTCTCAGTGGGTCAGAGATGAAACAGGTGATGCTGACAGGGGAGAAATGCTCAGGGCCAGACAGTGGGATCCTCTATTCTCTTGCCAAGGTCAGCCCTGAGCAAAAGCCAGCCCCCAGGACCTCCAAGGGGAATGAGGCCCTTCCAGCCTCAGAATCTGGGGTGCGGGCTGCACCCCCATCAAGAACCAGCACAGCTGCCTCACAGGACTGGAGGGCAAGCTGATTACTCCACAGCCAGGACAGATCCTACATTGCCCTGGGCCACAGCATAGTGACTGCCACATAGTAGGTGCCACACACACACACACACACACACACACACACACACACGACGAAATGAGGTGGCTCATGTGCCCAACTGAAGCATGCCCAGACCCTGTATTGAAACCCGGCTCTCCTCTCGGGTAACTGCACCCTTTGTCGAGCATGTAAAGCCTTAAAAAAAAACACCTTTAGGGATTCCCCCCGAAAGCACAGCTCCTTCAGGACCTGTCCCCGGGGCAAGAGGCCTGTGTCTGGGGCTGAATGTACGTTTGTCCTGGAGCCTGCATGGACCAGCAAAGGGAAAGCTGGGCCCAGGGAGAAGCCTTGTCCAAAGGCCCTGGTTACTGATTAGCCAAACCCAGAGCTTCTCACTGCAAGGCCTGGAGGAGGGTGGAGGGTGGGTGGGGTGTGGGGTGTGGGGTGTGAGGTGGGGTGGGGAGGGTGAGGTGGTGGGGAGTTAAAGGCAATCAGCCCCTTAGGAAGAAAGACCAAGCTAAACATCTCTCTGACCCTGCAGTTTACAAAGGCAACAAGCTGGCTTCCTGGGGCCCTCCCTCGGACACTGTGGAGGAAGCACAGGGGGTGGATGTGGGAGAGGAGGGGTCACAAACCAGGGCCCGCTAGGATCTGTCCCATGCCTATCATACCCACTAGTCTTCCTCCCAGCCAGAGACCAGGGAGGGTGGTGATCCCCACCCTCACCTGGTATTTTGCTCAGAGGAGAGGCCTGGACTCAGAGAGGTTAAGAGTTTTGCCCAAGGTCACAAAGAAGCTGCAAAGAAAAAGCTCCGTCTTTGTGCAACAGGTCCAAGCCCTCTCTCCGAAGGGAATGGCTGCTGCCTGCTAGAGAAACTTGTCCAGCGGCAAGCAGCTTGGGCCACCTATGGCGGAGATCGCCCGCCCCGCTCCGGGGCTCAGAGCAGGGTTCCAGGGCGGGGCGCCCCGGCTGGAGGGGAGTGTGTGTGTGTGTGTGTGTGTGTGTGTGTGTGTGTGTGTGTGTGTGTGCGTGTGTGTGTGTGTGCCAGGAGGGTGTGGAAAGGTCAGGCTTGGGTGGGGGTCAATGCGCCACTTCCCTTCCCCAGGGCCCCGCCTGCAGCCCCTGGCGCCGCCGCCGGAGGGGTGGGGACGGACGGGATCCGCCAGGGAGCTCCAGAGCCTGAGCCCTAAACCGATCGGGGTGCCTCAGCCCTGGGGAGGCGTTAGGAGCGGAGCGCAGGCCGGGCGGGGAGGGCGCGTCCACAGCCAGGGCGCGCGATCTCTCCTCGGCCCCCGCTGCCCGCAGAATCCCTTTGCCCGGAGCTCCGCGTCGCTCGGCACCCCGTTCCCCAGCGTCCACCTCCTGGTCTCCAACCCGCACCGACGTCCATATCTGAGCAGCTCCAGGCTGGGTACCCCGGATCTGCAGCGATCCCCCAGCTCCCGACCACCGACTTCCTCTTGGACCAGCGTGGGGGGTGAGGGGGGGCGGAGCGGGGTAAGGGGGGGGAAATACTAGATTCTAGTCTCCAATCACCGTTCGCCGTCACCCCCAGGCTGGAACCGAGTGGAGCCCCAGGCCGCCGGCCCCCGACCCCTTCTGCGATCTACAACCGGGGGACGCGGGACCTGCCCGCGGGATCCACTCCCTGGTCTCGGGGAAACAGATCTCCACGGTCCCACATCGGGATCGCCCCCTCCCCGCAGACCCGGGGCGCCGGGGAGATCCCCTGGGTCTCCCCGCCGCTTCCCCCGGCCAACTTTGCCAACTTTTCTCCCGGGGCCTCAACCGATCAGAACTTAGTGGCCACCGCCGGCCGCAGCCTCCCCAGCCCCCTCGATGGCCCGGGACAGGGGGGCATTTCGGCCGGCCCCCACCCCACCCCCACACCCCCCCACCCCCGCGGCCGCCGCCGCGCAACCTACCCTGCAGCCGCCGTCAGCGCCGGCCCGCGGCGCGCCGCCACCTGCCCGCAGCCCCAGCACCTGCCTCCGCCGCCCGCGGCCCCGCGCAGCCTAGCCTGCTGGGGGCGGGGCTTGGGGCGGGGAAGCGCCCCCCGTCGCCATGGGAACCGCGGCGGGCGGGCGGCGCCTGCGCGGAGAGCCCCAGGGTGGGGCGTGACTTGCGGGACCCGCGCTGGCCGGCGGGCTCGGGGGCTGAGGACCGGCCGGCGGGTCAGAGGTCGCGAGTCCTCCCAGGACCCTCCTCCGGGAGACGCCCCAGGCCCGGAGGCCGGAACGTGCCGTGCCCGACCCGGAATATTGTTCACGGCCCCGGCTCCGTTCCCGGGGCGATTCCCCGCGTCCCCCCACAACGGACACTGACGCGCCCCCGAGAGCCTAACGCAGCCGGGACCTCAGGAGGCGCTGGAGAAAGGCTCGAACCACTGGAACCACTCGCCCGCCAGAGAGCGGGCGGGGTCTGCGCGGGTCACTGGCGCCCCCTGCTGGCGATCGTGGAGACTGCACCCAGGGCCGGGAGCCTGGCCTGAGTTCCCTATGCCTTCTCTGCCATTGTGTTGAAGTGGGGGCTGAGGAGTGAGGCGTCGTGGAGACAAGTTGAGAGAATCGGTGGAGGTCGCACTTGAATGGAAAATGCCGGTTTTGTTGTCCGTGACTCATTTCATTCCATAGATCTGTATTAAGCACCTGCTTGGGGGCATAGTGGTGAAGCAGCCTGCAAGTTCCAGGCACTGGTGGAGTTTACACACATTGTAAACAGTCACTGCTCAAATTTAATTGCGTTTGTGACACGTGTTTCTAGGGAAACATACGGAGCATGAGTAACCGAAGGTCCTAAAATCGCATGTACATTTAGGAAATCAGACAATAAGGTTAGAGGGGGGATGGGGGGGAGAACATCACTGTGTGGCCTCAGGAGAGCTCTCTGACCTCGTGTGTGTATGGTGTGTGTGTGAGGTGTGTGTGTGTGTGTGTGTAGAAAGGGAGCTCCTGTTACAGGAGGTACACACCACACTGTCTCGCTGAATCTGCACAACCATCCTTTTGGAGTTACGATCACCACCCCCCTTTTACAGCCTTGGTGAGCTGGAGGCTCCATGTCAGAATATTCTCCTTTATCATCGGGATGTCCTGAGCACAGTGATCAATGGGGCCCAATCAATGGCTTTTCAATACGACTTCCACTTCCCGGGAGAAGTGTGCGTGGCAGGAGTCAGAGGATGATCTGATAGGATACCTGCTGCCTCTCCTCTCTAACCTCGTGGGGACTTCCTATCTTTCCTGGCGAATCTCCTCACCAGCACATGCAACTTGGTCCCTCACCTTGGCATCTCCCCTCTATCCTAGAATTTAAGAATGGGAGAGAGGACAGCCTCCCTACTGACATTACCTGTGGAAACCCCAAACCCATGTGTGTCCCCAGCCCTGACCAGCTTTGCCACCGCATCTCTAATCCCCAAAAGAGCCCAGGCCCAGTGTCAACTCTTCTACCCCTGTCAAACTACAACTCCCAGAGGCCTCCTGGCCCCAGAAGAGGCGGGACTTCCTGGCAGCCCCACCTTAGCTGATTTCCCCCCTCATCCCTGTGTCCTCCCTCCCAGGCAGGAGGCTGCCAGCCAGCACACACCCAGAGATTATTCTCTGACCAAGGAGGTGTCAGGTTGTACATCGTTTCCAGAGCCAACACCCCACCCCCATTCCCAGTCCTGGCTTTTCTCTTCCTAATGATAGAGGACAGTGCCACCCAGGCACTTTCCCAGAACCCTTTCTCTGCCATCTTCCACCCCCTCTTCCGGGAAGTCTGTCCTGATTTGGCTGACTCTTCTCAGACTCTCTGGCAGTTCTGTCCAACAGCACCTGTGCAATGGCAGAGATGTTTTATGTCTGCGCTGTAACATTAGCCACAGATGACTGCCGAACATTTGATATGCGGCCAGTGTGACTGAGGAACTGAATTTTAAATTTCATTTAATTTTAATTAATTAAATCTAAATACGCATATGTGGCCCTGGCTCCCATATTGAACAGTAATCCACACACTCCTTGGCAAAGACCATGTTCATGGGTTTTGGCCAGCGTATATTTATCCACTTTGTTTCTCCTATAATTTACCTGCTTCTTGATAATGAAGCTTGGGCGGCAGATGGGGATGCTGGGGGACTGGGCCATAACTCAGACCAGGCCACTTTAGGCCGAGCTGCCCACGTGACTGCAGCGACTGGCCCAGGCCACCCAGGGTGGGAGGCAGGCAGAGACCGCACGGCGTCCAGTGCTGCTGGGAGCCGGGGAAGGGTGCAGCTGAGCACACCTGACGAGGTGCATCAGTCAAGCCTGATGCAGTGAGTAAACATCAGAACAGCTCGGGCTCACTCCCAAGCCCTTGAACAAATATTAATTGGGAGGGGAAAGAAATGTATAAATAAATGACTGAACGAGTGGGAAAAATCCCTGGCAATCACCTATTCCAAGTGTCCTCATTTTATAGGTGAAGAAACTGAGGCCGAGAGAGGCAGAGATGCCCTCACCAAGGTCACGCTGGTGCAGTGGCAGAGCTGGGACTTGAACCTCTGTCTCATGGTTCTGGTTCACTGAAGCCTCCAGTACTTTGTGCTCATTTGTCACCAGCATTTCCAGCATGACAGTGACACCTCTGGTTCTCGCCTGCCCGGCATCCATCCCCCAACCTCTGCCACCAGCACCTCACTTTTCCTCCTAGAAGCCACTGCACCCCCACTTTTACTCCATGTAGTTCCATGGGGGTGAATGAACCTCCTGACACCCCTGCCCGGCCCCCAGTCCCCAGCCCTCAACACCAATCCTAGGTGCGGGACCTAAGTCTGGCCATCAGAACATCCCATTATCCTGGCCACCGTGATTGGCTCCCAGGTGGGCATGTGACCCAAGTTTGTCCAATGAGAGTTCACCACAATATTTGCTGCAACTATGTGCAAAGGAGCTTTTTTTTTATTTTCCCTCTGGGGTTGCTAAGCCTCAGGTCAGCCTGGAGCCAGGAGAAGCCAACACTGTGAGGGAGAATGTGCCCTAGAGTGAAGCCTCTCCAGCAGAAAACAGCTGAGAGATGGAGAGTGAGGGAGGTCCCAAGCTGCTTGCTGGCAAGGCCTAAGGCTGCCCCACAGCATTTTCAGCGTGTAGCCTAATGCATTTCCCCTTTCTCCCCGAGCCAGCTGGAGATGCCTCTGCATCGCGTATGGCAGAAAACAAGACCAGCACCCTCTCTGCAAGTCTTATGCCAGATGCTGGGGTAGAGACACTCAGATGCAGTGCCCATAACTTTCAGGGCCTGCAGGGGGAGGTTCTCGGGACCCAGAGAAATACATAAATCTGTTCGCAGGACCGAATGACCAAGGCAGAAAGGCAGAGAGCACAGTGGCCTTCCGCCCTGAGGTTTAGGTGGGGATCGGCAATCCGTTCGTGCCTTCTCCACCCAGAAACACCACACCCTCGCCACACTTGGATTTGGGGCTGGCTTTTCCCTCTTTGCCCAGCCCGCCAGACAGCCCAGAGTGAAAGGCTGCTGACTAAAGGAAGTGGCAAGAAAGAAACACACACACACACACACACACACCCAGCTTATCACACACCTGGGCTTTGTGCACCGACCTGCGTGTTTCCCTCAGAGGCAAGGAGACTTCTTAGGAGGTCACAGGCTTAGTCTGACACCGGAGCTCAAGCAGCAGAGGCCACGGTAGAGGGGCTTGACGGTAGAAGCGCGGTGAGTCTGGAAGCAAGAGTGTTCTGAGGTCAGGAGGGAAATATTGCCCAGGGGCCATAATGGGGTTCAGGGGTCTGTGAGCCCCAGAAATTACATACACTATTGCGTGTGTGATGTGGTGTGTGTGTGTGTGTGTGTGTGTGTGTGTATGTACACAAGTCTGCACGGGGAATGCATCCGTCGTCGTAAATCCTATTTTCAAAGAAATCCCTCACATCTGAAAGGTGAAGTTGCTGGTGTGGGACTGGGCCATCCCTTTGGAGGTTGGTTAACTGCTGTTAACCAAGTACCACAGCCAGAGCGGCTTGTAAACAACACAAATCTAGTTGTCACAGTTCTGGAGGCTGGGAGGCGAGTCCAAGACGAGACGTAGGCAGACCTGGTGTCTGGGAGGAGCCTGCTTCCTGGTCCCTAACAAGGGGCCAGGGCGCTCTCTGAGGTCTCTTTTATAAGGCGCTAATCCCATAGGAGAGCATCCCCCTCATGGCCTCACCTCCTCCCGGAGGCCCACCTCCTATGCCATCACCTTGGCGGTTAGAATTTCAACATATGAATTGGGGAGGAGGGGGAGAAGCACCTAAAGATTCACCGAGTTGCAATGGGGAAACTGAGGCTCTGAGCCATTGCATTGCATAACGAGACCCAGCTCACACAGCCAACTTGTAACAGAGGCTGGAACAGAACCAGAAGTCCAGCTTCCTCGGCTGTGCCACTGGGAGGAGACAAAGGGTTAAAGTCCTCCCTGGTCCGACGTGCCCGTCTTCAGCCTGGACATCACGTGCCCCCGGCTGGTTCCGTGCCTGCGTGCCTGCCCCAAACATGGCCCTGCGCTGTCTCTCGGTGTGGGGCCAGCCTTTCGCTTCTGGTCATCGAAGGGCTGGTGAAAGGCACACCTCAAACTTCCCTTCGGCGTCATCACACTCAGATATCTGTCTGTCTCCTGACAGCCCTGCTTCCCCCATCTCAGTAATGGCAGCTCCCCTGTCCCAGGGGCCAAGGTCAAAAGCCCTGGGGGCATCGTTGCTGCCTCAAGGCCTCTCACACTCTAAGTCCACTCCGTCAGCAACTCCAGCTGGCTTGACCCTTGACCTTCAACAAAGATCTAGACTCCATCCACTCCTTGCCCCGCCCTCCTTCTCTGCCCCTCCACCCCATCCAGCAGTGTCCCTCACCTGACTGTCTGGAGCTGCCTCCTGACTGCCTCTCCCTTGTCCTCCCTTCCATCTGCTCTTCATCCAGCAGCAAGAGCCATCTTAAAACACAACACAGGTCATGTGACTCCTCGGCTCACGACCATTGGCAGACTCCCCAGCTCACTCAGAGATCTCCATGGCCAACAAGGCCCACCACTCACCCCTTCTCCTTTCCTCCCAGTCGCCTGGGCCTTTGCTTCCTCAAACACGCCAGGCACCTGCTCACCCCAGGGCCTTTGCACTGCTCCTCCCTCTGCCTGGAATACTCCTCCCCCACACGCCCACACGGCTGCCCCCCTCAGCTCTTGCTCAAAGGTCACCTTCGTTGAGGCTTCCATGCCCATGCCCCAGCACTCACCACCCCCCTTCTCTGCTCGTTTTCCTCTGGCACTTATTAACGCCTGGCCCTTTATTTGTTGGCTTGTTTCTTTCCTTACTGTCTTCCCAACGAACGTGTGGGCTCTGGGAGGGCAGTAATTTTGCTAAGTCCCCAGCACCTAGAACAGTTCCTGGGTGGGTGGGGGGAGGGTGGGGTGGATGGGTGGATGGAAGGACAGATGGGCCATATTTGTTCTATCCTGTTATCTGTCTGGCCCACAAAGCCGGAGCTCCTTGAGGGCAGGGACTTGGGTTCTGTTCACACTGTATCAGTGAGGGTCACACAGAGCTGGGCACATGTAAAAGGAATAAATGATGTACCCCTTCAGCTGGGAGGGATATGGAAGCCAGGATAAGAGAGGGACTTGGCTTGGGGACATAAGGCTCTAGCAGCTTCCTCTGAACTCCCAAGTCCCAGCTCTCCCGCGCTGGCCGACTAGGGCTCCCCCTGGACTGTCCAGGCTCCCAGTTTGATTTTTAATCTAATTCTTTAGTATCACTTTGGGCTTAGGGCCCAGAGTCAGGTGCCCAATGCCCAGGGTGAAAGTCGCTGGTCCACCACTTTGGCAGGTGTAAAATTAGCCTTTGCTTTGTCATCTGTAAAAAGGGAACCAAGACAACAGCGCTCCCCACCCAGCAGCCGTGCGGCTTCACTGAGACAAGATGCTCCACGTGGTTAGCAAGGGGCTGGTGGGAGCTCAGGAAGGCTGACCGCCACTGACAGTCAGGGCTGAGCGGAGGAGCAAAGGCCCGGCCCCTTGCAAGCGTCCCTTAGCTAGAGCCCCACTCAGGGGAGCCTGGCCGGATGTGGTTTGGGGTTATAATGCCTCATTTAGCTTTCTGGGCACCCGGACAGTCGGCGTGATTTTCCCAGGTGACATTGAGCACATTATCTGGAGAACAAAACTCCTTTCAAGGTCAGAAACGCCCGGAGAGCCACTGGGACGGCCAAAGAGGCAAAATCACGGGCCTCGGTCCGCCTGGGCTCCCCGGCTTCCTGGCTGGAATTACACCCCTTGGGATCCTGCCAAGCCCCACGGAGAGGCTGGTTTTGGTGGAGGAGGGAGAACAAATACATCTTCCCTCATTCAAAGGGCCACCTCTCGCTTGCTGGATAGCAGCCACGAGGTTATTCTAATCCTGGGAATAAAAAGTCTAGGCCACATTACCTCCACCTACCTACCTACCTACCTACCTGCCCAGGCTTCTCTCTCCTCCCCGCAGCAACACCCACGTGATTTCATCCCTTCTGACCTTCACAACAACCCCACCCCCGCTTTCCAGAGAGGTGAGGGGACATCCCCAAGGTCACAGCACTGGGAAGGGGAGTTCTACAATGCCGCCTGCTCGGGGATGGGACCCAATGCCACCTGCCCCTTGGGATTCCTAATCCGCTCCCACAGATGGGGAAACTGAGGCCCAGAGAAATGGGGCCACTTGCTCCAGTCACACAGCCGGGAAATGGCGGAGGGACTGGCTGGCATCCAAGCCCGGGGCTCCTGCCATGTGTAAAGTGCTGGCCAGGCTTAGCGTCCCCAAGTGAAAGCAAGGTTGAAGAGGACGGGCTCTGGGAAGTCTGTGTAGGTGCCCTTGGCTTGGCTGACAGCTCAGCTGCTTTTGACCTTGGGTGCCCTTGGGTAGGCTCAACCCTCTGGGTTGTTCTGGCCATCAGGGACGGCGCAGGCATACATACCACCTTCCTGCCTCCTCTATTATTGTGTAGACTTTATATGTACTCACCTTTTTATTTAAATAAATGTTAATTCTAAATAGTGATTCCTTTTGTGCCAAAAACAAAAACAAAGCCACCACTACAAAGACAAGGAAAATCCAGTTGTCCCCAGGTCCCCACTGGACTCCGCTGCCTGCTCAGGGCTCCGTCTTTGTGTGTGTGTGTGTGTGTGTGTGTGTGTGTGAGAGAGAGAGAGAGAGAGAGAGAGAGAGAGAGAGAGAGAGAGAGAGAGAGAGAGAGAGAGAGAGAAGAGAGGAGAGAGAGAGAGAGAGAGGGAGAGAGAGAGAGAGAGAGAGAGAGAGAGAGAGAGAGAGAGAGAGAGAGAGAGGAGAGAATGACAAATAAATGCCAAGACCCATCAGCGTCCACAGAGACTTAGTGTTACATGTAGAGAGGGACAGAAGGAGAACTAAGAACTAAACAATCCGGCATTTTATGACTGAGTGACACTGGAGGCTGGGTCCAGGAGCCACCAGAATATGTCCCCCAAGGACCACCCACCGGAGGCACGTGGCGTACACATTCCTTGTTTGGAAAGCTCTGCAGCAGGTTCTCTATGTACTGGAAGCACAAGGTTATGCCATAACCCTCTGTATTTGCGGATGTGTGTGTTGGAGGGGGCTCGGAGGAGGGTGTGAGGGAGGGGTGTCATGCTCACCCCTTCAGGGAGGGGTGGAGGGAATGCTATGGGGTGATTACTGGTTAGTGGTTGAAGGGGGGGGGGTCTCACCTCTCTCTCTCTCTGTCTCTCTCTGTCTCTCTCTCTCTCTCTCTCTCTCTCGGATCTAGCCAGGGGGACACAAACTTGGGGAAGAGGAGTGGTAGGGATTTGGCTGGGGGAAGAAGGGCTGTTTCTTTCTAGAAACCAGGGGCTTCTATTTCCAGCTCTCCCGATTTGCCAGGGGATCTTGGGCAAGTGACATACTCTCTCTGGGTATCCATGTGGTTTTTCTAAAATAATGCCATTTACTTAAACGAGAGATACCTGCATAATGATCAATATCAATTTTGCAAAAAGATCTCGGAACACAAAGATACACACTAGATAATTAAAACGGTCACTGGTGGGCAGGGGTTCGTGGGCAAGGTGGTTGCTAGAAACACAGCCTGTTTGTGTGACTTAGGAAAGGTGGCCCCACTGGGTAGATAGAAACAGTCCTTTTGGACAGAGCAAGGCTTGATGGGCAGAGAGAATGAATCGAAGAATGAATGAATGAATGAACGGATCTGAGGGGCCCTTGCAGGAAGCAGTGATGCCGACATGCAACGCACGGTGGGATTATCCAAAAGTCTAAGCACTAACATTTATTCTGAGACTTGGGGTCCCTACTTCCAGGACTTGTTGGGGAGAACCACTTCTCCACACCAGGGGTTGGCATCTCCTATTGCATCGTGAGGTTGAGGAGAGTCTGATGACCTAGTTTGGGGGTAGGGGCACCTTTGAAGGCCCCGTTCCTCTCCTTGCCCCACTGTCTCCACCTCTGACCTTGCTCGTTGACCCCCAGGTCACTGACTCGCCACGATGGTGGGCAGCGTGTGGGTCACTCTGGGACTCTCCCTGACCTGCACCTCTGCCCTCAGCCTCCTCTCCCCTGCCTGGTTCCAGACGCCCACCTTCTCCTTTGGCGTCCTCTCCTACTGCTCCTGGCCTTGGGGTGACCACTGGAATCAGAGCTGTGGGGTCTTCAGGTCCCTGGATGACATCCCGGACTTGTCCTGGAAGGTGAGTCCTCAGCTCATCCCTTCACTGGGACCTGGGGGTGGGGGAAGGAGGACTATCAAGGGTCGGGGAGTGAAACAAAGCCAAGTTCTGCACCTCCACCACGGCCCTGACCTGAGCCTCTGATTCTGCAGGGGTGGGGTGGGGTCTGGCTATTTGCATTTTAGCAAACACCCAGGATGATTCTAAAAGCAGCTGTCAGTCCTTATAGCTCCTCTGTACCAATTAAGACAATGGGCCCCCTTCTTCAGGACACTGCACTGCCATCTGCTGGAGAATTACTGAAATCAATATGCAAATCTAGGATCCCAGTGCTTCTGAGTGGTGCAGTGTGCAACTGGCAAACACCTACCTGGCCACCCTCTAGGCACTGCTAGGCTGGAAAACCACAGCCAAGGTGTTGGACATTTCTGTTATGAGGCACATTACCAAGTTCAACCACAGGGGCTGTGGGCAGGGCTCCCAGTCCAGTGCCCATAAGGAAAATTATACGGCTGTCAAAACCCGTCACTACAAAGATGATCCGCCTTACAGCGGGTAGGCAGGTGTGGTGGTTGCACATTTAGATCTTAATCCTGGATCTGCTACCCAATTAGCCGTGTGCCCTGAGGCAAATGACTCTACCTCCTTGGTCCTCAGTTTGCTAACGTGTAAAATGGGGGTAATAGCACAGACCCCTCGGAGTCTCCAGGACTCAGTAGCTGGTCAATATGCAGGGGAACATCCTCCTGCCCCCACCCAGTCAGACCCTCCCTCCTCTCTCCTCCTGACAGGTTTCAGCTGGGCTTCTCCTTGGAGGTTGGCTCCTGGTGGCCGTCCATGCAATTCTCCTCCTGTCCTGGGTGCTGGCCCCCAAAGAGCTGTGGCCAAGGAGGAGCAGTGGCAAAATGCAGGGGGTGCAGGCCGCTGCAGGTAAACCCACCGTCACATAGTAAGCAGTCCAGACAGGTTGTGGGATGGATGCTGAATGAAAGGGGAAAACATGTAAGCAGAGTCTGGCCTCCTGGGTCAAATCTCAGAGATAAGCCTTAGGAATGAGTGTAGATTCTTCCTGGTCCTTTAGCAAGGTTCACCTGATTCTCCTGCCCTGGGAGTGCCCAACCGTGAGGAGGTGTCCAGCCCATTTCCTTAGCAAGATCAGTGCCCACAATAGCACCTCTAACAATTCTGGTGAATGAACTGGTGAATGAATGAATGAGTGGGTGGATAAGTGGGTGGATGAATTGGTAAGTGGACAATGGATGTCTTAGTAGATGAATGGGTAGATTGCAATATGAATGGAAGATGGAGATGGATGGATGGATGGATAGATGGGAGGTGGGTAGGTGGCTAAGTGGGCAGGTGGCTAGATGTTTGGATGAGCGAATGGATAGGCAGACAGAGGGCTGGAGAGAATGAGTGAATGAGAATATGGTTGAATGGGTGGAAGAGGAGATGCACCAATGGGTACAAGGATAGTTGAGTGATGGGCGGATAAAAGGAAAGAAGAGTCATTGTATTAACTTTGCATGGTGACAGACTGTGACAGGCTTAATGTGGTGATCACATCGCAAGGTATATAAATGTCAAATCACCATTTGCTTCAGTTGTACAACTGAAACTACTATTATATTGAATGCCAACTATAATTTAATAAACATTTTTAAGGATAGACAGGCTGATAAATAAGTGAATGAAGGGACGAATGGGTGGATGGATGGACAGACGGACAGGTGGACAGGAAGGTGGATGAGTGAGGGCGTCCCAGGAGAGAAGGCTAGCCCAGAGCCCCTGACACACTGGCTTCCTTCCTTGCTTGTCTCCAGCCATCACCACCGTTATGGGCCTGCTGGCCTTCCCTCTCGGCCTGGCCTCCCCATTTGCCAAGGAGGCCTGCGGAGCCTCCTCTGTGTACCGCAGTGGACAGTGCCAGCTGGGCTGGGGCTACGTGACTGCCATCCTCAACGCAGTCCTGGTCAGCATCCTGCCCGTCATCAGGTGGCCCCGCACGACCAAAGTACAGGGGAGGACCGTCCACTTCTCCAGCGACACTGAGAAAATCATCCTTATGCCGGAAGTGAGCAAATAAAATGTTCTCAGGAGCAAAAAGAGCCCATTTTCTGTAAAATGCACCCCTCTGGACCTCACTGCATTTTCTGTAAAATGCACCTCTCTGGACCTCACTGTATTTTTCTGTAAAATGCACCTCTCTGTATTTTTCTGTAAAATGAAGGTGTGTGAGATATTGCCTACCTTACCCGGCTGTTATGATGGGAACTCAGGGAAATTGGGGTCATAACCCAGAAACCATTCCCACCCAGGGACCACTCTTGTGCATGGATTTGGGGTACATGGTACACTGTTCGCAAAGTGGCCTCAATGATTTCCCCGCCTGTATCCACACCCCTTTTCTTTCTTTTCTTTTTTTCCCCCTAAAAAATATTTTTATTGATTTCAGAAAGGAAGGAAGAGGGAGAGCTAGAAGCATCCACGATGAGAGAAGCACTTATCAGCTGCCTCCTGCATGCCCCAAACTGGGGATGGAGCCCGCAACCTGGGCATGTGCCCTGACCAGGAGTCGAGCCATGACCTCCTGGCTCATACTGAGCCACGCCAGTCAGGCCCACACCCCTTTTCAATGTCACTCAACAAAGCCTCCTGTAGGGTGGTGGAGTCTACTTCCCATTCTCTGAGTCTGAGCTCAGCCATGTGACTTACTCTGACCAAGAGAATATGGTAGAAATGACCTGTTGCCAATCTCGAGCTTTGGTCTCCAGAGGCCTTGCAAGCTTCTGCTCACTGTCTTGAAAATGCCATCACGGCCATGTAAACAAGCCTAAGGTAGCCAGTTGGAGGGCAGGAGACACAGGGCCCCGTCTGCCCCACTGGCTGGCCAACAGCCAGCCCGGCTGGCTACCAGCTGATCACAAACACATTAAGTCCAGCTGAGACCAGAAGAACCTCCCAGCTGAACACAGCCCATATTGCTGACACAGAGTCACAAGCTAAATAAATGTCTGCTTTCAGCCACTAGATTTGGGGTGGTTTTGTTCTGCGGCATTACTGGCGGGAACAGCTAAGACACAAGGATGCGGAGTGATTCACCTGCCTTGAACTTTTGTGTCCATTGGGAGTGTGAGCCACTGCGGCGGGAGGACGGAGTCTTCAGAAACAAACATTTCTTTCTTTCAAATTAAAAAAAAAAATTCCCCCAAACATAGAGACAAAAACAACCCAGCTTCACACACCTCTCGGTTTATATATGTTTTCTCTCTATATAGACACAACTCTTCAGTAAACAGTTACAAGATGTGCTGGTAACACTGAGAAAGGGCACGCGCGGCAGACAGAACAACTCGCACACACTCAACTCCGGGACACAAGGACGCGGCACACAGACACCTGAATAAGCAGAGAGCTGAACAGAGAGCAGTTAGTCCAAGCCACAACCACGACGTGTCTCTGGACCCCACGAGAGAAGGCAGAGAGGAGATCTTGTGCTGTGCTGTGTGACTAGTCTGTCAAAAAATAAATAAGAACCAGAGGGTCTAGGACCTGGGCTGTGCTGAGGAAACGTCCCCTGCCAGGAGCAGCTACGTGGCAGAACACACTTTTCTCCGAGGGGCCTTTCACACGTTTTCCCATCCCAGGAAGTGGCGAACCGGGGGGAGAGGATGCCCGCTCTTCGGAAGTGAGGGCCCTCTGGGTCTGTCGGTCCCGCCCAGGAAGCCCCACTAGGGGACGGCGGGGACTCATACTGTGACGGAGGGAAGAGCTTCCCCAGCACACAGGGCAGGTACTTCAATGTGCTTACGTGTCTCCTGCCCTCTCCCAAACCCGACCTGCCGTTCTTGGGAAGAGCAGTTCCCGGACTCGGTGTCCCCCAATTCCGGTGCACTATCAGAACCCAGTGGGCAGGTCCCCTTTCCCGGAGGACGGGTGGGCAGCTGAACCACCGAACGCAGGATCTGTTTGTGAACTGGCGACCCTTCAAGAGAAGACACGGTGGGGACCATTTCGGGTCTGAGCCACCGTGGGAAACACACACGTCACCCTGGCTGCCCTCTGTCTTCCTCTCCCTTCGTCCTGAGTGAGCAAGGGCACTTGGGGAAAAGCTGTACCAACACACACATTCCAAGCTCCTGGAGCGCCAGGCCCATGGAGCGCCAGGCCCACTGTGTGCGAGGACAGGCAGTCTTTCCTGGGGGAATCACAGCGGGTTCTGGGTGAACCCAGAAGAGCCTCGGACTGTCTCCCACCTGCAGACGCTTCCGTGGTCCCACTGCCCTGCAGGAAGAGTCCCTTCTTGAAAAGAAGTCTCTCCCAGAGTCAGGTGGAGGGGAAAAATGAGAGGATACAGCGTGAGGCCTCCCACGTGCCTTCTCTAAATGGGAGGGGCCTCTGAATCAATAAATATATATATTTGGAGAAAAAAAATAAATAGGAGGGGCCTCAGGACAAGGCGGCTTAGGTAGAAAGAACCGGTTGGGAGTCACATTGGTAGCCCCTGCTCTAAGCCAGTGGGGACATTTGGCAATATCTGGGACCCTCTGGTTGTCACAATGGGATGGGGAGGAGGGTACTACTGGCATCTGGTGGGTAGAGGCGATGGATGTGCTCAACATCTTACAATGTGCAGAACAACCCTCACTCCCCACCTTCCTCCAGAAAGAGGATGACCCAGCCCAAATGGCAACAGTGCCCAGTGCAGAAATCCTGCGGCCAGCCGGTCTTCCAGGCTGTTCTGGAACATCAGAGTACAGAGGGCGCCCCACAGACTCCTACACCAACTTCCAAAACAATCCCATGCCCAGTCTCCTCGGACACGACAGTCTGGAGGGATGGGGAGAGAAGGGGAGGCGACGTCTGGAGGCCTTGAACAGAGATGTTCCCTCCGTCCACCAACAATTCCCGCGCGGAGAAATCCCGCACACGGGCGATCTTTGGTCAAACAGGAAAACGTAAGGCTGAACTCAAGGGGCAAGCCCTCGACCCCACCTGCCTGGCGGCCAGAGACGGGCCAGTTTCTCCGTGCACAGAAGTCCATGCTCACAGACAGACACCAGGACCGCGCCCCCCAGGTGGCCGGGAGGAAAAGTGGGCACGACAGGCAGGTGGCAGCTCGGCCGGTGCTGCCTGGGCGAGGCGGCCCTCACTTGTTCTCAATCAGAGTCTGCACCTTGTACACGAGGTCCCGGGCCAGCTTCAGGATCTGCTTGGTGTTGTGTCGCTCGGCCATTTCTGAAAGAGCAGAAGGCGACAGCTCGTGAGCCTCATTCTGAGTCCATCCTCAGGTCACACTTCCAGCACCCGGAAGAGTCTCTGTGGCTTTCCCACCATCGTCACCTAATCTCATCCCCAGAGGGATCTGGGAGCAGAGACCTTGGGGCAGGACAAAAAGCCATTTGCCTAAGGTAGGGGTGTCGAACTCAATCAGAGAAGGGGCCAAAATCTAAAATCCAGCCTAAAACGCGGGCCGAATGGTTTACTGAACAATCATAAACTGTCATTGTGATGGAAACGCAGCGGAGTGCAGTGATGACAGCGCGGTGCGGGCCACATTGCAAGGCCTGGCGGGACGGATTTGGCCCGCGGGCCTTGTGTTTGACACATGTGGCCTAAGGTCACCCGACTGCTGAGTGGCAGAGCTGGGATCGGAATTCACTTCTGTTCTGATTCCCAAGGCGGTACCCTTCCTGTTCACGTCAACTGCCTGCCTAGCCTGCTTTCCCTACACACACCAGCCCTCTGAAGCAGACGCTGTTCCCCATTTCACAGATGAGAAAGCAGATGCTTACAGAGGGGCAGTGACTTGTCCATGGGCGCAGCTGGCTAGTGGTAGAGCCAGGGTTTGACCCATGCTCCTTCGGCCAGATCCCAGGGGGAAACATATCCTCAGCATTACCAGAGGTTGACTCACCCATTGGGAAGAGACACATGAAGTGGGCAGAACCTCCTCCAGCCCCTCCTGTGTGTCAATCTCAGTAAATCTCTGTCCCACCTAAGGCCCCAGGAAGGGGCCCTCTGGAAGCCTGCAGCCTCAGATGAGACCCCGGGCATGCGGGTACCGTTAAAGAACTTGATGATGTCTGTGAAATCCATGTTGTTCTCCAAGATGATGTCACGGTAGACCTCCACCAGAGCCAGCGCGATGAACAGGACGTAGTGGGTGGACGAGACGTGTTTGGCTGCCCAGATGGTCTCCCAGACAGAAAAGACATCATCATAGACAAGTTCTGCCAAGACAGACACCAACGCACACACACACATGGGGAGAGAGTCAGCTCCAGGGCTCATGGTGCTGCCCACCCTCTGGGAAAACCCCAGGCCAGATGTGCTCCGAGCTTCTGGCCGGTGCAGCAGACAGAGCTCAAGCCAGGAGCTAGGAGACCTGGACTCTGCCATTTGACCATCAAAAGCCTCAGTTTTCCCCATCTGTAGAATGGGCTAACAAACAAGGTGGGTTGTAAATTTCCAGCTCTGACATTCTGCAAGTGGAGGAAATGAGCATGTGCAGTTTGACTGACACTAACTTATCCCTATTCTACCCCTTGAGCAGTCTCCCCCTCTCTTCCTGTACCCTCCCATCTCTTTTAGCACCCATGGCGGGGGGGGGGGTAATATTTCCCCTCTCTCCTAAACATAGAACTGGCTGTTGTATCTGGTTCTAGTGAAGAGTTAGAATAGGGCAATGGTTAAGAGCAAGGCTTTGTATACCTAAAACTTACATAATGTTACTACGTAACCCCAATAAACGTAATCTGAAAAGAAAAAGAAAAGAAGAGAGCAAGGCTTTCTATGTCCAATAAACTCAGTTTGAATTCTAGCTCCATCAAGATGACCTTGGGCTAGATACTCTCTCTCCTCATCTCAAGTGGGAGGATGCTCACAGTAGTAAAATAGTAGTAAGATAATATATAGAAAGGGCTCAGCACGGTGCCTGGCACTTAATGAACACCTGTATGTGTTAGATGTTATTCTTAGTATCATCCCAAATTAGCGCAATAGTAATCTATTGTTTCTACGTAATATTTAAGTCCCATGTGAAACATGCTCCAAAGGCTTCAGAGTTCTTGGTTTCTGATAAGCAGCATAATAGAATGGAAGGGAACTGGTCTTAGGAAGAGGGGAGCTCAAGTCCTGGCTCTATTCCTCCCAGCTGTGAATTCAAATTTTCTCAGCCTTAGTTTCCTCATCTGTACAATGGGGACTGCAACACTACTACTGCATGGTGTCACTGCAAGATAAGGTAGGTGAACTGATAATGCGAATTCAATAAATAGGTGCTGCTCTCTTCAATTGGAGTTTGCTCTGTAGTATCTTCCCTGAGGTTCTGCTACAAAGAGTCTGGGAACAAGGCCCCCGTTTGAAGTCTGTACCTCGTTTGAAATCCAGCAGGAACCAGCGGTAGCAGAAGTAGAAGTGAGTGTAGTCCCCATTCTGATGCATCAGCTCAAAGAGCTCTGAGTCCAGGATCTGTCAGAGGAAGGAAAGGTGAGATCAGCCTCCTGGGAAAAGGCCAGACCAGAGGGGAGAGCTGGAAAAATGATGGTCCATCCCCATACCAGACACCAGAGAGCCGTTAATAACCAGGTGCAGTATCATTTTATGATATGTGGATTATATCTCAATAAAGGGGTGTGTGTGTGTGTGTGTGTGTGTGTGTGTGTGTGTGTGTAATATACCCAAACATTACTTTGAGGGAAAAGACCAATATCATCAAACATCCTTTTAGAACTGGTGCCATGTCTTGGTCATTGTGTGGTCATAGTGCCTGGACTGAATAAATGCTCAGTGAAAATGAATCTTGTAGAATTGATTTGAGTTGCTGACTTATGGTTGAGCTGAATTAAAATTTTTAGTTCAATTCAGAGGTTAAGTGGACTTGAGTGTTTTTTTTTTAAAAAACAATATTATGTTTATTGATTTCAGAGAGGAAGAGAGATAGAAACATCAATGATGAGAGAGAATCATTGATCGGCTGCCCCCTGTAAGCCTCACATTGGAGATCAAGCCAAGTGCTCTGACCAGGAATCAAACCCTGACCTCCTGGTTTACAAGTCAACACTCAACCACTGAGCCATGCTGGCTGGGCAGACTTGAATTTCTGAGTTGGGCTGAGTTACTAAGTTGAGTTAAACCAGGCGTGGCTATTAAGTTGACCTGAGGTCCATTGGGTTGAGTTGAAATAAGTTATATCACTGAATAGGACTGAATCATACCTGGATTAGTGACCTCATGTTGGCAAAGTGCGTATCCATGGCTCCTCCATGGGGGAAGTTCTGGTTCATTCTCTTCATAAGCTCCGTAAAGCAGCTGAAGGTGAGGGCCTCTGGGGAAGAGCACAGGAGAAACCATCAACTCCACCACTGCCCAAAGACCTGGAGGCCCCAAAGTGATGGTCTAAGGCCCCAAGCTGGGCCACAAATGAGACAATGGAATGCTGGTGCATTCTATTTCAAGGCAGCATTCATGAAATTCTCAAGTCTGGAAAATTCTGTATTAAAACAGCAAAGGTCAATATTGGGGACGTTATACAAAGAAATGCTAAAATGGTGTTGAGAAAAGCTGCTTGGAGAGTCACTACATATATTAAGAAAAAGCTTGCTTTCCTAGGGCAGCCTTCTAAGCACCTGTCCTGACACAAAATGAAGTTCACCCCGCCCCACCCCCTCAATAGGAAGGAAACTGTACCCCCAGCCCTTGGGCTGGAGAACACACTCACCGTCATCCAGAATGACCAGCAGTGGGGCCAGGAGGTCACACATGCCCTGGACATAGCCAATCTCAATGTGCTGCCAGATGTAGCTAGGAGAGAGAGACAGGGGCTCAGTGCGGACACTCACAACCTGCCTCTCCCACCCATTCTTCCTTTGCTTCCTCTGTGGTCTAGTTCCCCACCCCTCCCCTGGACCTCACCCCCTACCTCCTGCCTGCACCCCATTCCCAATCTCACTGTCTTCAAACATCACATGCTCAGCACCAGGATGACCTTCCCAAAGTCAGGCTCACGGAGGTCACTGAATGCTCAAAACCTTCCTAGACCTCCACTGTGTAACAAGACAATATCCAAGCTCCTTACTAGTAAACGGGGGCGCAAGGCATTGACAGTCTCTTCCCTTCCATATGCACAGTCTCACCCATCACTTCCCAGTACTTCTTCCTGTCTGGCCACAGGGAAGTATTTAACTTGTACAAACAAAGCACACGCCCCTGTGCTTCTGCAGTTCCCTCTGTCTTGAATTCCCATCTGTCACTTAACAGTAGTAAATATTTACTGATTTTTTACTGTTTACTCAGCCTACTATACATATATTGCATCATTTAATTTTCAGAATAATACAAAAAAGGAACCATTATTATCCCATTTCACAAATGGAGATAGGCAGAGATAAGTGACAGAGTCATACGCCTCATGATAAAGGTCAGAGGCAGGATTTGAACCCAGGCGCTCTCAGCTCAGGGGATGTGCTCCGAACCTGTAGGCCAAATGGTTTCTGCAGTTTTTCCTAATTTTGTCCAAGTCCATCTCGATTGTCACCACCTCTATGGTGTCTTCCATGATTTTTCCCAATGCCATAACCTAGCAAAAATCAGTCTCTCCTTCCTTCTCCCCCAGTACGTTTTCATTTTAATGTGACATTAGTATGTTACATTATATTTGTATTTCCTAGACTAAATTTTGGTTACTTGGGGGACAGTAATAGAGAATAGTTAAGCAGTGGTGCTTATTAATAAGAACGTGCTAGAGCAGGGATTAGTAAACCTTTTCCGAGAGGTCTAGACAACAAATATTTTCAGCTTTGTAGGCCACATCTTCTCAACTGCTCAACTCTGCAGAAACAGTCACAGCACTGTGCAAAAAAAAAAAAGGGCATGGCTGGGTTCTAATAAAGCTTTATTTACAGAAACAAGTAATGAGCTAGAGCTGGCCTGTGGGCCATAGTAGTTCCCCAAACCAAGTTAGAGTAGCGTGGAAAGTCCAGGATGTATTACTGAGTGCAAAAATGAAGTTGTAGAAAAAATTTGTAGTATAATTACATATAGGTAAAAAAAAACTTTTATACTATAACTTACTTCTTCTGGTGAGTGCTATTGATGACTGGATATGGGAGAAGTTTCTCTTTATATCTATGAACTGATTTCCTTGGTTGATTTAGGTTTTTAATCAGCATGGGTTACTTTCGTACTTTTAGAAATAAAAGTCATTTTTAATGAAAAGTAGTAACTAGCCCCGGATCTTGGCTTAATAAAATAAAGCAGATTCCAGAGCCCCAGAGATGTGGGAGTGAGTTCCCACTCAGCCACTGCCCAGCTGGAGGCCTCTGAGCAATGCCATACCCGAGCCTCCATTTCCTCACCTACAAAGGGTGGTAATACTTATCTCAGAGGCTTGTTGTGAGGATTAAGTGAGATGATTTGATAAAGAGCTCAGGATAGAGCCTCGTATACTGTATGTGCTTAATAAATGTCCTCTATTATTAACACTACTATGACTGTTATGTTGTCAGTGTGGGCTGGAATAAGATCTGGTGGGCATGGGCCAACTGCAGAGGCTGCAGTCCTAGCTGGGCTCTCTGCAGCCCACATTCTACCCTCTCCATCTGCCCTGATCCCCTCCAGATGCAGCCCTGCCCCCCAGCCACCTGCACATGATGTTGCGCAGCTTCTCCAGGTTGGCGGGCGTGAAGTACCAGTAGTTGCGGTCGCACCTCTGCACGTCCTTCTCGATGCGGTGCAGGTTCACGGTGTACAGGTCCAGCAGCTCCGGCTGCCAGCCCACAGGAGGGGAAGAAAACAATTACACCCCAACTCCTCTCAGAGGCGAATTTTAGAGGTTCTCACCCCTGCCCTTCCCCTCTTCCGGAGTCACTGCAAGGACATCCTCCATCTGGCCCAGAGGAGGGTTTGATTGTTTTTTGTTCTCAGAAATCCCCTTTCCCTTTGTATGAGGAATATTCTTTTAATTTTTTCTTTGATAACACAAAACAATCCTATGAGGTGCACGGATGTATCACTCCCATTTTATAGACGAAGAAACTAAAAGAGTTCTAACTGTAGCTGGAAGTGTGCCCCTCTCTGCTGAAGACTGGATGAGAAGTGGAAGAACTGAACAGAAGTCCGATTCTGGAAATATGCTGGACCTGATGCCTTGACCCAAAAATCAGGATGACATGGCTCAATATGGCAAGAAAAAAAAAAAAAGAAAAAAAAAGAACATTTCAAGGCCAAAATTAATCCAAAATGGCAAGAAAACACCAAAGCTGGCTTTTGCTTGAGGGAAGCTGCTGACACGGGAACATTTAGGCTTGGATTTCATGGTGTTGTGGTCCCCCCACCCTCAAGGTAAGGAAACTAGTGAGACTTTCCACATTCAGGCAGGACCCCAAAGAGCCAAACTCAAAGATTTAAAAGATACTGGACCTGCGGGTAAGTCAAGATGCTCATCGTCAACAGAGTGATAGGCCCAGAGGACCTGACTCAGTAATTTTGAAACCACCCAGGAAGACAGATAGGGAAACTGAGGCTCAGGAAGATGAAGGGACCCGTCTCAACTGGTCACCTTAAAGCCAGGACTGTTTGACCCCTAAGGCTGTGTTCTTTAAGTATTTATCATCATTCCCCCAAATGGGTTTCCATAGTGAACTCTCTGCGATGGGGAAATGCAATGAACGAGGGCTGTATGGAAACTTGAGGTTTGGGGCACACTCCCCCGCTACTGCAGCTGTAGGAAACGGGGGGGAGAATTCTAGACACTTACGGAGTAGGTGACACCACTGGATGACACAGGGGACGTCTCGTTGTTGGCAGTTGTGCTCACGGCCAGAGAGGCCAAGGCTGGGAAGAGACTCTCCATCTCGGGCTCCTCTGAGAGGTTGTCCTCACTGTCCACCCGGCTGCACTTCACCTCGCTGCCCCCCCAGCCCTCCACCGGGGGGCCCTCCTTTTCAGGCAGAGCCACGTCCATGCTGCCTGGGATGGACATGAACTCGTCCATGCTCTCGTTGGCGAGGAGGTCACTCTCCAGGCTGTCCTGCACGGCCAGCTGCTCACGCGGAGCCTCGTCCCGGGAAGTGGTGGCCTCGCTGCTCTGCCCTTCGTCCACGCTGCTGTCCCCAGGTCGAAGCACCAGGGAGGCACTGCGCTGGGCGTCCATGACACCGTCCTCGGTACTCAGGCTGGGCTCCGAGTGCTCCGAGAAGCCAGAGGAGAAGTTGTGGGAGGAAGGATGGCCGGAGTCCGGGGAACAGGTGCCATTCACCAGGTTCCCATTGGGGATCTTCGGCTGTTTCTCCTCCAACTTGCCTTCTGTCTCCACCTGCTCCACTTCGTCCACAGACTCGAACACCTGAAGACAAGGTGCACAAAGACAGATGGACTAGGATGGACACTGCTTCCAGCAGGAACCTCAGTGTTCATCAACAGGGGACTGGTTCAAATATGGAACATGCATGTGATGGAATACCACACAGCCAGTAAAAGGAGTGAGGCAGAACAAGGTGCGATACATGCTCCCATTTGTGAAGAATAAAAATGCATAGAATAACCCAGAAAGAAACAAGGAAGCATTGCAGTTGACTCTGTGGAGGGATTACTAAGGGATTTACATGGATATACAATAACATGCTTTGTTTAACCTGTTCCTCATGTTGTTAACTAATATTTTACTTAAATTATCTGCACCTGTTTGTACAGTGAAAGTCAAAGCCAAATTTAGCTTTCTCTATAATAATATTTTAACTCTTTTACAGGGGAAATAGATTCATGTTACTTACATACGGTAATTAAAAACTCAATCTTTAATGCTAGTATAACAGCTAAAACAAATAAACCCTGAGTGACTCGGAGATGATGGGCAACCAAGTCCATTATTGCTCCAGGTTGGAGGGAGGGTGATGGGCAGATGGGGGCGTGGCCTCGGGAAGGTCACCTGTGTGCTGCTGCTGGAGTCGCTCTGCAGGCGGATGTTCTGGTGGCCAGAACTGCAGCTCTGGGAGGACTGAGAGAAAAAGAGGCAGGAGGGAGCCTGGGTGAGGCTGCGGCATCCCGGCTCGGAGACCCTGCACTGAGCCAGGAGGGAGTCAGAAGTCTAGTTTCATTTCTATTCCTGACTTCAGGAGGTCCCCTCTCAAGGCCTCAGGTTCCTATCTATGCAATGAAAGGACTTGCTGGGGTCTCACTGTCTGTTCCCAGGAGCCTCTTCAGAGGGCGCTCCACCAGCCCCTGGGCCTCCCCCTCCCACCTCTGTAAGCAGGAAACCCCATCTTTCACTGCTCTCTACTTGAGACTTCTGGCTAACGTTTTAGTTAGACGCAGAGTAATTGTATGAATGACCCGATTTTTTTTTTTTCTCCCTCTCTGTATTTGTGCTTTTTGCCCTATAACTTCTACTTCCTGCCTACTCTGATGCTAGGCTTGGCCATGTGACCTGCTTTGGCCAATGGGATGTTAGCAAAGTCACCAGGGCAGAGCCTGAAAAAGAGCTTGTGTATGTCTCTCTTTATAATCTGTGCTCACTGGGAGAACAAACCCAGGTAACCAGCTGGAGGACAAGACGTGGAGCACAACTGAGTCAGTCCAGGCAGGTGAGAGTGCTCTGTGAAGGTCAACAAGACTTGAGTTGGCCTTCAGAGCTCAGAACTGCCTTGCTGACACACAGACTCATGAGAAAAAGGGAACGTGTGTTGTTGGAAACCACTGACCTTTGGGGATTGCTTGTTATGCAGTATTAGTGTAGCAACGTGATAGCTGATACATCACTAGTGAAGAGAATTAACTTTTTTTTTTTTTTTTTTCCAGCTTCTGCTTTGGGCCACTAAACTGGAGATTTAGTGAGAACAGATATGTCTGACTTGGTCACTGAAGTATTCCTGATCTCTCAGAACATTCCTGACAGTACCTGGCACATGGTAGGCACTCAATAAGCATTTGTTGAATAAATAAAAGTCTAGCACTGTGGTAGGTGCTTTATATACACTACTCATTTAGGAGGCACACAAATCTCCCCTCTAAATGATTATTTCCCTTTGACAGATGAGGAAACTGAAGCCCAAAAGTATGGGTGCCTGCCTGAGGCTCCAGGGCTAGAAAATGGGCTAGAGTTCAAACCTAGGTCTGTCAAACTGCAAAGTCTCCTTCCACCCAAAAACTAGGGCCAAACACCCAGCCCTCACCTTTCCTACCACAGCCTGACGGAGAGGATCCTGGCTTTCGCACCCCACTCTCCCCTCCCTCAAGTGACCCGCCGTCACCTCGTTGCTGATGGTGGAGTCCCTGTGCATCATCCGGTGCAGGTGGCCGTCCAGGCTGGCCCCTGAGGAGCACTTGGCCAGGGCGGCTGCGTGGGACTCCCGCTCCCTCTGCCGCACGATTGCCTCACAGCCCAGCCATTCGGACATGGTCTGCGCGTAGCAGGCATGGATCTGCTCGTCCACCTGCAGGGCAGATGCAAGGTCACCGGAAGTGCTGGGACCCCTGGGGAAAGCCAACGCCACTGGGAAGACCAGGTGGCTCTGACCCGGGATCCTGAGCCCTGGAAGCACCAGTCTAACATTCAGCCAACCGACATTCACTGAGCACCTACTATGTGCCAGGGAGGAGAGAGGGAAGGTAATAAAGAAGGGTGTGAACCTATAATCATCTCAAAATAAATGTTTATTTTTTTTAAATGACACCCGTGGCTTGTGCTGGATTTCTAGGGGAGCGCGCTGCCCTCGAGCTTCCTGGCTCCCCCCAGCTCCCTGCCCACCTCGGTCCAAAAGGGACCAGAGCTCTGCCAAAGACCCCAGTGCCCTTCAGGGTAGCCAACCTCCTTCCTCTCCGTCTCTGTCATCCCGAACTGGTAGTGGCCCAGCAGGAAGGGCCACACGGCCTTGCGGATCTCGGGCTGGATGCCCCCGTAGTAGATAAGGCGCAGCAACTCCTGCTCCTCGTAACTCTGTGGAGGGGAGACGGGGGGAGCAAAGGGTTTGTGTGGCCAACAGAAAGCCAGGGGCAGACTCCCTGATCCAGTTCTTCTTCTCAGACTGAGCCCTTAGGAAATCTGGCATGCATGAGCGAAGCCATGTGGACCCAATACCCACTACATGTGACCTGAAAGAGCAAAGCCCTGGGAACCCCTCCATCGCCCACCCATGGGAGAACAGTAGACCCCGACAGGGGAACACCACACAGTAAGCTGGAAGGTGCATCTATGAGAACCTACACAAAATGATGCTCAATGTGTACTGTTAGTGGAAAAAAACAAGATGCAGATCATGTCTAGTGTGAACTTATTTTTATTTTTTAAAAAAAGGAAAAGCCAGGGTATAATGAACTTATATTTCTACTTAGTTTTCTATCAATTTTGTATATTGTGCTTATTTGGGAATATTATCTTTGAGTTTTTCATCTCAACTAAACTCTAAGAAAACTGTTTTAAAGCAAATTAATCCACAGTGAACATTAGTAGCTGGTTCTGCACACACTGATGATTTGGGGGCACACTAGGATGACTAGTGTCTCCCTCTAAATTAGCACCTCTCATCATTCGAAATAGATTCAACCACATTATGAATTCCTGCTCACTGGGGACTCATAGCACTTTCATGCAGGATTGAGCATACAGCTGGTGCTTAATAAATGCTTAGCCACTGATGGGTTCTTACTCCTTCCAGGAGAGCATGTGTATTTTCCAACCTCCTGGATCCTCACCCCAGTGGGCAGAAGCAGACTATGGGTCTTAGAATGATTGAGTTTGGGTATGCAGAACCCAAAGATATCACAGCATTCTGAGACCCCACAAGCAGATAGGTCTATTCCTTAGATTGCAAGATGCCCCTCACCCGCTGCAGTCCCACTACAGGCCGAGCCAGGCCAAGCCTTACTGTGCTGTCCTGCAGGTACTGCTCCCAGATCCCGGCCGTCAGCCCGTGTTTAGCATCACAGGGCAAGTCTGGAGACACAATCCTGTGATTGACCAGGGCTGACAGGTGGGTCCTCACGGTGGATAGGTGTCTGCAGTAGGCAAGCCCTGTGGGGGGAGATAGAGACAGGATCATCACCCACCATCCAAATCTCCATGCCTTGTCTTAGAGTTTCCAATGCAATGGCGACTAAACCAAGCCCCTGCCACCAAGAAACCCATTGTTCACTGCCCTCTCTTAGGATAAAGGTATATTTATCTCCAATTTAATGATGACGAAATGGAGGCTCAGAAAAGTGAGTATCGCTTCACTAAAACCAGGCAGCTAAGAAATAGAGGAGCATGGGTTCGAGCTCCAGAGCCAGGCTCCTTCCCCTGATATTGATGGCCCGTAGCAGGCACTCAATGAATGTTCTCTGGAGATCACGATGGCAAATAAGGTCAATACGCACATCCATAGAAGGCTCTGGAGAGGATCTGGTACTTCATGTTGTCACAGAGAAGCTTCAAGGGAGCCCTGCCGGTGGAGGAAAGGGAGACACTTAGGGCAAACCCACACACAGCCCAGGTTTCCTGGGGAGGAGACAACTCGTTATTTCTAGGAGCAGATTGAAGCCAGCCGGTCAAGGGGTATTATTTCTGCTCATACAGCATCAGTGCCCCTTCTGCTATCTGCTAGTCACTCCATAACTCTGTCCTCATGGTTTGGGTAGAGCTGATTCTGTCCAGTGCATGACTCACATTGGAAACACAGTAATTGGACCAGAGGTGGTGATGTAATCCAACCTGGGCCAATGAGAATCAGCTCTGGGACTTTTGTTGGGGTAACTGGGAAACAGACACTCTTTTCCCTGATTAAATTCCAAAGCCAATGGGATATGGGGCAGTGGCAGCCGAGATCCACTTTTGCTACTGCACAGAAGGGCCTGCCGAAGCATGAAACTATCATAGTGGCAAGCAGAAGCAAGAGCCAAAGAAAAAAACAGAGATTCCTGTTTTGAGCATCTGGATCCAGCCATACCTGAAGCCACTGTACCCGTGGACTTTCCAATTCTGTCAGCAGATTTTCCTTTTTACTTGAACCAGTTTGAAGTGGGTTTCTGACACTTTCAGAAAAGAATTCTGACTTCTGAAGTGACCCACCTGAACCAAATTGAGCCAAACTGGGACTCAAGAGTCTAGCTGATTGCAAAGGAGGTGATGTGGCATAGATTCTCCTTGCATGGGAATTCTGGGGGGCTTTTTTTTTGGCTGAAAGAGGAGAGAGGAATAAGGCCCAGCATTGTTGGAGAAAACAAGGGCTGCTGAAGAGGGTGTTATACCTTCTTGCAAAAAACAGAGTAGAGGAAAATCATCCCAAGGGACACCCAGGGAAACTCAGGGACACTAAGTATAATAGAAAGCAGGCCGAAGTCCTCCAGGTATACCTGGAGGCATTAAACTTTAAAGTCATCCTCTTTGTGCCCTCATGTTGGCAAGACTCAGGCTTGCTCAGATTACATGAGAAGAGCATCTCACTGACAGCTGTCCCACAGTGTACTCAGCTACCTGCAAGGTGATGAGCTCCCTGTCACTAGGTGTATAAACAGATACAATGGGAGGGAGGTACTAAGTTAGAACAGCACTTTTCAGTGGTCCATGGACCACCAGCCCATGATCACTTGGAATTTCTCCACCACGTGGATTCCTGGGCCCTGTATAGACCTACTCAGTCAGGACCTCCAGGAAGCAGTCTAGGCACCAGTAGGTTTTACTTCCTCCTGCAGAGGATTCTGACGCACATTAACTTGTTAGTCTCTTGTTTGACACATGGTCCCGGGATCTTGTTAAATGCAGATTCTGTTTCAACAGGTCTGGGATGAGAGACTGAAAATATACTCAGGTGATAAGTTTTCTGGTCCCCACGGCTTAGAAGACTTAAAAAATCTAAATCCAGACCCCTGCCCTTGATGTTCCTACAGCTGAAGACTGACCACCCATTGGGACAGAGGCCCAGAAGAGAAAAAAGAATTCCACTCCTGCAGGCCATGCCAGGTAAGTAGGAAACAAGACCATTCTCATGAATGGGCTGAGTCATTCTTCCAAAGAGACCACAGTTCTATGTGCAAAGAAAGAGCTGATCTCGGGATTTAACTTTATACAATAAAATAGCGTGTAATTTATTGAGCATTACCATGTACCACATGTTGGCCACTTCAAACCGTTATTTGATTTGTCCTTATAATAGCTATATAAAGTAAGCATTACTGTCCCGTTTAATAATATTTCTGGCGCCTGCCTGGAAGTGCATGGGGGACTTCACTTCCTGGCTCCTTGTAGAGTAGGCGTGAGTGTGAATGACAGGTGTTTCATTTGACCTGGAGCATTTAAATGCTGCTTTGAGTCCCTCCAACCCATTTCCATCCGTCACTGTGATTGGCAATATTCAAGATGGTGTTGGCTCCACCAGCGAGACCTTTGATGTGCAGAAAGCAGAATCTCCAACTGATCCATAATAGACACATAGCATGCATGACACATAAACCTTTGCTGTAATAGCCACTGAGGTTTTAGGGCTGTTTGCTGCTGCGACATACCTTCTTTTTCCATGTAAGGAAGCTCCAACTGCTAGGACTTCACAAGGCAGGATTTAACTTAGATCTGGATGATTCCAGAGCCTCTGAAGTCAGTGCAAGGCAAGTAACTCTAAATCTTTGGTAAATCCTTCCAGTTCCCTCCATCCACAGCTCAAGCCCTCATACCTCTCATGTTTGCAGCCATTGGTTGAGCCACCATCACCTGAGCCACTCTGTGAACAGGATGAGCAAGAGGATTTGTGGGTACTGGGTTGCCACAGGGCTGGCAGGTTGCTCATGGAGACATCCATCAGGTCCTGGGGCACTGTGGGGAGTAGAAGGGACAGAAGAAGAGCCCTCATTGAGCATATGTGGGTTACAGAAGCCTCACCCCAAAACAAGCAGATCACTCCTAGGCCAGCATAGGGATAGGAAAAGCCCCTTAATGTCATAGTAGGAAACAGTGACCACAATCGTTGTCTGACCCAAGTTCTTGAGCCCGCCTGATCCAGTGAAAGCCACCACCAAAATTTGGGGCCCCCAGCAAATGGGCAGAGCCGATGACAGTAGAGTGTGGAAGAGAACCCAGAGAGAGACCAGAGCCAAGAAAACAGGCCCAATCCCAGAGTAGGAGGCCAAGCCTCACACCATGTTGTCATCCAGCTGTCCTCACAGGAGGCTGGCAATGAAGGCAGGGGACCTGCTGGGGCTTCTGGGGAAGGCAGATGGTCTCCAGGACTCAGAGACAGGCTCTCTGGTGAGAGAGTCTCTGGTGGCGAGACAGAGGGAGCCTGACTCATCTGGTGAGGCAGGGCACACAAGGGAGAGAACCCAATGTAGCCTCCCACTGACAAGGAAGAGGGCACCTGAGCTGTCCTGATCCAGCTGCTCCAATGGGTCTCAAGCAGGCTGGCCACTCCCAGAATCACATGGAGATAGGGGACTTATTAAAAAGTAATAACCCATTCCTGACCTAGCCAATTAAAACCTCCTGGTCATACATCCCTTGAGTCTACATTTCCAAAACAATTCTGCCATAGCAGCCACATTTGAAAACCAAGAAAGCACAACTTATCTCTTAACTCCTGACATTGGTGATTCATAATCAACTGCTACCAAAAGTATCTTGTTACACTAAACCTTCCCAAGCAGACTCACCAATAAGCTGGCCAAAAATCACCAGCAAGCCCCTGTAAAATGTTCTAGAAAAAACAGTCCCAGTTCTTCGCCAATCTCAGGGAAGCACTGATCAGTTGTGCCCAGGTGTGGCAGGCATATGCCCACCCTGTGGACATCACCAATGGATCCCTTCACTCCTGAACCCACAACACTCCAAGCTGCATTACGCCGGGTACCAACTGGACAGCATGAGGGTCCTTATTTGCCTTTTACCTCCATCTCCACCAGGACCAAGACTCAAATGACAACATGGCAGAGGTGGCTGGCACCCAGTCCCAGAAATGGGGAGACCCAGACATTACTCGGGGGCTGCTGCTTCGAGCCTGGTATGGGAAGGGTAGCGCCCCATCTGGTTTGGGCCAACCGACTGCCCCTGGCCACCACCAGCACGGACCGGCCCACAGGAACCACCATCCAGGCAGGGCCCACGGAGACTGAGGCTGTGCTGCCCCAGTGGTCGGAAACAACTTGAGACACAAAACAGAAAGCACCGGTGAAATGGAAAGTCTGAGGATGGCAGAACACTAACCCGACCAGAAGAACCAATTCTTCGGGACTCGAACCTTCCCCTGGCACCCCAACCCCACCACCCCACACAGCAGCAGAGTTGAATGCAGAGATGTGAGCATTTCTCTGAACCAGCAGTTCTCAGCCTGAGACAAGTTTGCCTCCAGTTTCTTGGCAATGACTGGAGACATTCTGGTTGCCACACTTGGTGGGCAGGGGATGGATCTGGCACTTGGCATCTAGTAGGTGGAGACCAGGGATGTTGCTCAGCATCTTTCAGTGTGCAGGACGGTCCCCATCACCACGGACTGTTGCATCCTAGTGTCTTGAATCCTAGCGTCTGTCCTGGTGGCACATTCAGCCACAAGAAGCTCACGTTGATATTCCCCAAATAGGGGGAACCCAGCCTGGCTCTGGCAGGAGCCCGTTGGAGGGTGAGCCCCGGTGGAGAGCGTGTTCTGGGAAGGTGGCCACAGGGCATCTTGGCTAATGAATCCAGCTCTCTGGTGGGGCTGTGTGCATAAACAGCACATGCTAAACAACACTTCAGGACACTCTGCGGCTCTGCATGGAGGAATATATGGATGAAAACACACTAACCCAAGCCCTGTAGGACCTACTGCCAAGCCTGCCTCACACCCCAATCCAACTCAGCGATGGATGAGAGATGGAGCACTGAGAGGCCGGGCATGGTTAGTTCAACCTTGCTGGGAAGGACATCTGCTTTCAGAAGAGCCTCTCAATGTGAAGTGAGGCTTCAAGCCATTATCCATCTGATTGGATCAGTGGGGCCACAGAGGGTTAAATAACGGAAAGGATGTATAACTTGACACGGATTTGTTTAACAGACGTCCATACAATGCTTAACAAATGCCAGGCCTCCTTCTAAGAACTTTTCAAATAGTAATTCACTCAATCCTAGCTCATGGCAGTGATCATCTATCTCCATTCACTAGGCATCTGTCTCACGACAGTCAGCAGGCAGATCATCTCCTGTGCTAGGGTCAAGCACTTTGCTTCCCTTCTGCTGTTCTGACTACCATTTATTGAGTGCCTACTATGTGCAAAGCCTTATTCCAAGGGCTTTGCATTGATCACCTCATTATCTCATTAAATCCTTACAACAATTTGTTGAAGTATAACAACACAATAGCGCTAACATTTGAGTGTTCTCTCTGTGTCAAGTGACTTCTCTCATTTAATCCTCCAAAAGCCCTATGAAATATGTGCTGCAGACATCCCCATTTTCCAGATGATGAAACTGAGGCACAGGGGGTTAAAGTGAATTCACTAATGTGAATTCCAGAGTCCATGTCATTGCCACTATCCCATGCCACCTCCCAGCCAATGGCATCTTTATTAGCTAAGAAAAGTGGTTATTTGTTCTCAGATGGGGGCAGATCAAGGCCACCACAGTATAAACTTCCCGATTCCAGGTCCCCTGAAAGCCCCAGAATCCAGACCTAACTTGTCCTCTATTTCCAAACGCCTAGTTCATTTTTAGGATCAGCTAAGACTGGGTCGCTGGGCCCAGGATCAGGACAACTTACTGAACTCGGACTGCAGGCTGGGGTAGATGATCCTGAACACGTAGTCCGTGGCCTCGTCATCTTCCTTGTCCGAAGCTGTGGACTCGGCAGAACCCTGAGGGCTTCGCTTGCGCAGTTTGGGAAATACTTTGCCCTGAAAGAACATGTCCCAATGCTCAGTCCCTGGGACATACCTGCCCCCCAACTGCATGGCCTGAAGGTCTTGATGGGGTGTGCATGCGCCCGAAAAGCCACGTAAGGGCTAGGCAAGAATGACCACTCACCCTGGCTGACCGCACCCCCAGCCATGCTCACTCACCTTCCCCCGCTGAGACCAGAGTGGTGGGTCCAGCTGCCCATGAGGGAGCAGCCCATTCTCCAGGCAGGAGAGGAACTGCAGGAGATGGCCCCCCTTGGGGAAGTGGAAGGGTGGCCTCTGGATCCCATCCTGGCTGACCAGCACCACCGTCCCGCCGCTGTCCACTGCCATGCGACCGACCAGAGAAGACCCAGCAGAAAGTCACCAAGAGGCATAGTGACGGGCCCTCCTGGCCAGCACGTACCCCCAGGCCCAGTAGTAACTGTCAGTAGCATGGACTGAGCACTTACTACATATCAGCACATTACGGTAAGGGTCCATCTTATTGAGCACTCAAATTATCTATCACTGCCTAGTTTACAAGTGATAAAACCAAGGCTCTGAGAGGTTATATAACTTGCCAAGGGTCACACAGCTAGTAAATGGCAGGGTGTGGACTGGAACCCAGTTCTATCTCATTAAATAAGCTTACATGTTTTGCACCTTGGTTGGCCACAGGTCCCTTGCTTTCCAAAGCAGGATGACTCCCTGATTATGAATATATCTTCTTTGAGCTTTAAAGGGGAACTAGTTATTAATCCCTGATCGGCTGAGCACTGACTTTGGAGTGACAAAGACCTGGGTTCAGGTCCAGGCTCTGGAGCTTACAAGCTGCATGTCTTTGTGCCATGCTGCTTCCTCACCTGTGAACTGGCAGTGACGGAGCCCCTACCACTAGGTTGTTGTGATGATTAAGTAACAGGCATGGAGATACTCAGAGCCATGCTTGGCACATCATATTTACTCAGTATTAGCAACTAACATCATGGGTTTGCTGCTGAGCCTTTAACATATGCCACTTGATCCTCATGATAACCCCATGATTATGTTCTGGTATGATTCCCACTCAGGGGAAACTGAGGCTCAGAGAGGTGAAGCCACGTGCCTGAGGTTACATAGGCAATAAGCGGGAGCCGGGGGCGGGCGGGGGGGGAGGGGGCAGGCAGTCCCTACCTTGTTGGTGGCAGTGCAGATAGACGATCTCCTCCAGGCGGATGGTCATGGCATAGTCCCAATAGACGCTGGAAGGCAAGGGAAGGTTAGAGCTGCAGGATGTCTGCCCACATCATCGTGGGGGAAGGCCCAGGCGGCCAGAAGACCACACGCATGGGTTCTTCCACCCTTCCCACCAGGACCCACCTGACCCTAACGTCTGTATCTATCAGACTATCTCTTCTTTGGCCCCAATTTTCTAAGGACTCCCTCCTCCCTGGCCCCCACCCCAGAAGTCCAGAATGGCCACCTGACTGAGGCTTGATCAATCAGCATGTTCTACTGTTTTGGCCAAAGTGATTGATTGGTTCAGGGATGACCCCATGACACAAGCAGAACCAATGAGATTCAATTATCAAACTTAGAATTACTAGGAAACAGATGCTCCTTTATGATAGAAAAGTAGTGGTAAGTATGCTAGAAGTCTGGAGATGTGAGGCTATGGCAAGAAAAATAGAATCAACAGTCAGGGAAGCAGAACCAAGAGATGGAAAATGTTCAGGTCTTCCTCACTTGAATCCCTGGATCCAGCCATGCCTGAAGCCACTGCCCTAGATTTTTCAGTTCATGTAAGCAAATGCTTAAGTCAGATTGAGTTTGGTTTTCTGTCAATGGTACCTGAGTCTTGACTAAATGCTGACCCTAACTTCAGGCCACCCTATGTACACGGCAGGAGTCAGAATAGCCATTCAACAGCCTTGACTTCACAGGTGGGTCCCAGCAGTGTGACGTAGAGGCTCCTGTGAGCCACAATTTCCTTCTCTGAAAACAAGCATAATGCCCACTGCACAGTGCTGCTGTGAGGATTGAATGGAATCGCCTACTTGAAGGGCTCACCACGGCACTGGTACATTTTAAAAAGTACTGGCTAATGGGCCCTGTGATTTAGTTCAGGTTTCCATTTTCCCCCCCTCATAACACAATGGGAGGGGGGGCCACAGGAATGCACTCCTTCATGAGACCCAAGCCCTTGCAGTGGGGAGCAGTTGACCAGTGGCATGAGAGGCCACCTCCCTGGATGCACCGCCATGCTATGTCAAGGCCACACTCCTCTCAGCAACCAGAACTGAGCACGAGAGGGGGCAATGTTGGCCTATTTTTGTGGGACAGGGGACTCGAAGGGTAGACTTTAGCCTGGGAACTCCCAATTGATTTGGCCAAACTGATGAAATCTTGGTTAAGATATTTCTGGGTGGTGTTTTGGCCAGGGCTCTGCCTAGTTCCCACACCCTAAGGTTCTTCCAGTCGGTTACTGGATCCTCCCAAGTTCCTGAGTTACCCATGAGGCCAGTGCCACAGGGAGGCTGGGCCAAGCGGCTGTAACAACCAGATGGAGCAGCGTCAGGGCACAAGGGACGGGGCACAAACTTCCTTGTGCCAAGGGAAGGGGAGGTACCTGGCACCCTACCTCTTCTCATAGTCCAGATCTCCCACAGACCCATTCATCAGCTGGTTGGGTGTCCACTTCAGGGTCATGAGGTCAGCAGTCTGGTGCAGCGACAGGTACCCTGGGACAGCCTCCATGTCATCCCTCTGCAGAGAGAGAAGGACTCAGGCTTGGTTGTAGTGCCAGAGTTGACAGTTAACACGGTCCATTTGACTCAAGGACTCATAACCGGAACCAAGAGGTTGGGTCATTTCTTCCAAGGTCATGGCTATTTGGAAGACCCTGAACTTCCTTCTAAGTGGCCATACTAAGCAAAGCTATTGCAGTCAACCACCCAGGATGGGTATTATATTAGTAGACCCAGCTGTGAGAGCTGCCTGCCCCTAGCACTTTCATACCCCCATCTCCCTTCTGAGTCCAGGGCCCTGCTACAAGGGCGGACCTGGGAATTCTTTAGAACCAAGAAGGAGCTCTGTCCCCGACAACATCACCTTTTCAAAGCAGAAGACATTTATCTACCATCATTTAAGCCAGTCTTAAGGGAGAAAAAAATTACAGCTAATCTCTGTCTGATCCCCCAGACATTACCCAGAAGCCCCTCCCCAAACACCCGCAGCACCCTCCCCACCCATCAGCCTGAGCCCCTGGCTCCCCAATCTGCCTGCAGAGCTAGAACCTGCTTTACTGTATCCCAAGATGGGAAGGGACTGGAGAGGGGTGTCTCTTAGCCTCATCCAGAGAGGCGGCAGCTCCTCCACCAAATTCACCTCAACAACATTTAGAGACCAACAACTAACATTTTCTGAGCATCTGGTATGTATCCAGGAGGGCTCAGGGCCACACGTCCCAATTTAACCACCCAAGCCTGCAGCTCCACCACAGAGCACGGATGCAGTCTTTCATCCATGATAAGATGCACACCTGTCTCTCACATTTCAATACGACTGAATACGAGGATGCATCTTACAATCAGCAGCATCTTACCACTGGGATGCCGTTATCACTGCCTGATCTCATGTAAATTCAGTCACAGATGTCCATATTGTTATTTCAGCTAAGTTTTGTGCACATATGGAGAAAAGTTCTAGGATGGAGGCCCGGCATTTATTAAAACTATATCCAAATAAATCTCAAAGAGCTTGCAAAACACATAAAGTAGAAGTTTGAAGTAGAGAGAAAACACTGTATATAATTTAATAGCGCTTTTAATTTCCTCATAGTTATGTTAAAAAATGGTGCATCTTAAATGGATGCTTCCTAGGCGTCAGGAAATAGGGTGCTGTACCCACCATGATGTGGATACTGAGGAGTGACTTGCTCAGGGTCACCCAGAGATTGTAACTGTGACCACAGAGCTGGGCAGCCAACAGCTGCCCCTCTGCTTCCTCTCAGCTGAGCCCAAACACTACACTGACCCTAATGTCCCATGAGGGTGGGGGCTTCATATGCCTTACTCATCGCTGTTCCTGGGGCCTGGCCCAGTGCAGGGCACAGAGGGTGACTGGTGAGTGGCAACTTCTGGCGCCAGCCATTCTGAATTTAAATAATAACTCTGTCCCTTACTTTGCCCTCATGGGCCTCAGTGTAATCAGCTACGATAACAGCATCTGCCTCAATGGCTGTTGTGAAGTTTAAATGAGTTGATATAGCCGGGACCGGTGTGGCTCAGTGGATAGAGCGTCGGCCTGCGGACTGAAAGGTCCCGGGTTCGATTCCGGTCAAGGGCATGTACCTTGGTTGCGGGCACATCCCAAGTGGGGGATGTGCAAGAGGCAGCTGGTCGATGTTTCTCTCTCATCGACGTTTCTGACTCTCTGTCCCTCTCAATTCCTCTCTGTGTAAAATCAATAAAATAAATTTAAAAAAAAAATAAATGAGTTGATATAATTAAAAGCACTTAGCACAGTACCCGACACATAAAAAGTGCTTAATAAATATTGTATTAACTATGAAGATGTTTATCTCGATATCCTAAGCACCTAACACTTAGCAGGTTCCGTATAAAGGTGTGCTGAATGAGTACTAATGAGAGAATGAATGAAGAGATGGCTCGGTGAACAGGTAGATGGACAGATGGACTAGAAAATAAATGGACAAATGGGTGGATGGATGGTGAGTGGATATAAATACAGAAAGATGGATGAAGGAATGGTGGAAGTGCAGGAACAGAGGGATGGTGGCTACAGGCACTGCAAGAGGAGTGAAAGGCTGGCTGGCTGGAGATATTGACATGTGGATGGATGCATGGATGGACTTGATAGAAGGAAATACTGGCATGTGGATGCATGAAAGAAGGAAATAGTAGCATACGGATGAATGATGGATAGCGGAAATACTAGCAGATGAATGAATAGATGGGTGAGTAGGTGGATGGATGAATGACTGAGCAACCTAGAGCCAAAGGGAACTTGTCTATAAGACGGAGCCAGACTCCCAGGGGAAGACCTGGGCCCCCGAGGAGCTCTCACCGGCTGAACGAGAACGTTGTTCTTGCCATACAGCAGGGTGGCCCTGGAGTTCTGGTGCAGGGACTCCACGTAGTCACGGGCGGAGAGGGACGGGCGGTCATCCATGCTGCCACTCGAAAGCCTCTTCTGGATCTGGCGGTGAGAGTGGAGGCAGAGGATGAGGCTGGAGTGACCTTCAAGACCCCATTCCATACCTGCCCCAATGCCCGGTCAGGAACTCAGCCTGATCCCCACACAGGGTCTCACTGCCCACCCCACTCACGCAGAGGGCTGGGCGCTTGGTGGGCGAGTCCTGCCGCAGGTGCGGGCTGTGGATGCGGTGCCTCTGGACGAGCTCGTCGGCAGAGGGGTCGGTCCAGAAGTGATCCGCCGTCTTCATCTTGGTGTACTCCAGGGCACAGGGCCCCACTGCAGAGCAGAGGGGCTGGTGATCCTTGGCCTCTGAAAGTCTGCCCTCCCATCTACCACCAGGTGGGCCACCCATTGCACTATCCCTCTCATCTGGTCAGCTAGGGTGCCCCAGAGTCCTGCTAAGGCGAGAAACAAGACCCTGGGAGCAGCAGACTGGGAACAAATGAGTTTTTGGTTTTTTTAAAAAAATATATTTTATTGATTTTGTACAGAGAGGAAGAAAGAGAGATAGCGAGTTAGAAACATCGATGAAAGAGAGAGTCATCCATCAGCTGCCTCTTGCACACCCCCCACTGGGTATATGCCCACAACCAAGGTACATGCCCCTGACCGGAATCGAACCCGGGACCTTTCAGTCCCCAAGCCGACGCTCTATCCATTGAGCCAAATCGGTCTCGGCACAAGTGAGTTTTGATGGGGGAGGCTGGAGGGAGGTGAGAGAGGCCCTTAGGAGGGGTTCTGTGAGCGGAGACTAGAGATGCACATGAAGCTCAGAGAGCTGGACTGCTTACCTAACAAAGACGCAAGGATGGGGCCATCCACAGGGTCCATCAGGAGTGCTTCCTTTTCGTAGTATTTGCTAGCGAGAGAGGAAAGAACATGCAGGTTTGGGAGGTGACCGGCAGAGGGCGCACCATGACCTGGTGGTTAAAAGCGAATAAAATGGGTTCGATCTCCCTCTTGTGATGAGGTTACTTCTGTGAGCCTCAGCTGCCCCATCTGGAACAGGAAGGTGATAATGTATCTCACAGGGTTTTTGGAAGGACTTTCAAGAGAGGCAACAGATATAAGGCACTGATTTTAGCGCGGTCACTCCAGCAAGTCACTTACCCTCTCTGGGGCTGAGTACACGGCTGAAATAAAAGCCTTAATGAGGTAATGGGAATAATTGGAAGGCTGCTGAGGTCTGGCTGGTTTTGTCTGCTTCTACTGTATCTTCCATTTCACACAGGACGTCATTAGGAGGCACAGATGATATTTATCCCTCTATTATTGAGGCGATAAAATGCTTTTCAACTGTGGCTGTCGCAAAAGGCTGTATGAACAGGTCTTCCTGTCCAGATATCTAATGTGGACAATCATAATGTAAATATCTGTGTTTTCCAATGGTCTTAGGCGAAATGCTGCAGTAGAGCCTAAGACCATCGGAAAACACAGATACTTACATTACGATTCATAACAGTAGCAAAATTACCGTTATGAAGTAGCAACGAAAATAATTTTTGGTTGGGGTCACCACAACATGAGGAACTGTATGAAGGGGTCTATGCATTAAAAAGGTTGAGAACCACTGCTTTAAAACCAACTGCGATGGATTTCTGTTGGACAGTTCTTCATCATGAGTGTGGTGATGTTTACATGAAACAGCATGTTTTAACATTTCATAGAACTACATAGCAAAAACATGGGCATATGTAAAAACTGGTGAGACACAAATAAAGCTTGTAGTTTAGTTAACAGTGTTGTACCGATGGCAGTTTCTTGTTTTGAGTCTTGTACTCTGGTTGTGTAGAATGCTATCATTGGGGGGAGGCAAGAACTCTCTGTACTAATGTTGCAACTTCTGTGTGAACCTAAAATTCAAAATAAAAAGTTTAATGAAGCAACAGCAGGTTGGCATTGATGCTCAACTAATTATCCATTCCTTTTGACTGATACATTCAGTATAAAACACAAGGTTGCACACCACAGGCATTAACCTCAGAGGCTCTGGGGACAGGGCAGGGGACAGAGACAGGTTACAATTTATAAGAAGGTGAAGAGATTAACTGCAGCCCCAGAGCCTGGATTTCACTCAGTTCCTCTCCTGCCTCAAGGGTACCTGCTGTTCCCTCTGAGGGGAACACTCTCCTCACCCCCTTCACCTGGTTAATGCCCACACACCTCTCCAATGGAAGCTTAGCTGTCATACCTCCCAGGACCCTTGCCATAAGCACCGGAAGGAGATGAACCACTACCCTCTTGCCTTGGAACACTCACCACACGTTATTAAATTGCTATTTGACTGTTTCCCTTGTTACAGTGTCAGCATCATGAGGGAAAGGACCTTGCTCTGTGCTTTCATATATTTTCCTAGCAAACAGGCAAATAAAAGATATTCTTTTATTATCTAATATCCACTGTACGTGAAGATGTAGTTAAGTCAAACAGGCACTTTCATATCCCAAGAGATGGGGGGATTATTAGATATTTCTCTCTCTGGCTGGAAAGGAGTACCGGCCATGAGGAATCTCAAACTATAGATTCTTCAGGGCTCGCCACTGCTCTTGGGATATGACAGGTAAAAGCAGTGTATCCACAACATCTAGGTTAGTGCCTGGTGCATAGAAGGTGATCACTACTTATCTGGGTAAACATATGAATACAGGGATAAATGCTTGCCAACAGGACTCATACTATAACACCTTTACATCAGATAATTCTGAGCGAGGAGAGAAAATGTAAAAAGAGTCATTATTCATTTCCAAAATGACTAACTCCCCTTCTCATCTCTTCTTCGGAGTGGCGGCAATCTCTATCCCACTTACCAAAAGAGAAAACAGAGGCACAGAGAAGCTAAATGATTTCTCTACAGCCATATGGTTGGCGAGTAGACTGGGCTTAACTCACTGGAGAAGAAAGATCATCAAAATCTCAAGACCCTATAACCCACTCCAAATGCGAATACCCCGCATTGTTACTAAACACCTGGATCTTCCAAAGGTTCTAAGCTAGGCTAGTTCAGATTCAAATGTCCGGACGATCTATATTTGATTATTTTAAATCAAGTGCACATCAAGGGGAAAAAAAGAACGTGGTTTTGCGCAAGGGGTGCAATTTCCATGAATGCCAACAGGTGGAGGTAGAGTGCGCCCAGGTGTTAGGTCTTTCCAGCTCACCTGCTGTTTTCCACAAGGTAATGCACAATTTTGTCCAGAACCTTCTCAAACAAGGCCGTGCGGATCCACAGGTGCTTGATAGCAAGTGGGGACAGGTTGGGTAGCTTCGGCAGCTTTCGCACATTCTCCTGGAGGCCCTGGATCTGGTTTCGCCTTTGAGACCAGTAAGGAAGGATAAAAGATATTCATCAAAAAGGAAAATCCAACAGGATCAATATGCAAATGGGAAAACAGCAAACCTATCTAAGAAACAAAGAAATGACAACTAAAACCATATTGCTCTTGGCAAAAGGGTAAAAAGTTGGGGGGAAAAAATAATACCCAGTGAGTGTGAAGAGGTGGTAAAAAGAGACAATTTCATACACTATTGATGGGTAAGCTAGAATCTCATTCTGATATTCTCTCAAGAAACTGTGGCCCATGTGAACAAGACCACACTGGTTCTATTCAACGTCGGTCTTGCTGCATTTAGAAGAGGATGAGCTCACAGGAGGCACTTAACACCTGTTTCTTGGGCACTGACCAGGTGCTAGGCTCTCCCAGACGCTGGGGACATAATGGGGAATAACACAGATGTAGGATGTAGTCGCCTGTCCTCATGGACTTCAGGCAGAAAGGGGAGACAGACAATAAGCAAGTAAATAGTAAACAAACGAACGAATGAATAATTACAGATGGTGACAACAATTGGGAAGAAAACAGACAAGATGAGATGAAAGAGAAAGGGGATGAGGGTTGGAATTCACCCTCAGGAAGGCCTGACTATGACAAGGAACCAGCCATGGAAGATGAGGGATGAGAACCAGGCGGAGGACACAGCGTAAGCAAAGGCCCTGGGGTGGAAAAGAGTCTGACAGGTCAGAGGAGCAGAAAGGAGAGCAAAGAGAGTGCTAGGAGGCCGGAGCTCTCACAGAGCCCAGCGAGGAGCATGGTCTGACTGCCTGGGGGACTACCCCAGCTGTACACCATGCTCTGCACTCACGCGTTCTCTATCAGCTGCTCCAGGTCCTGGACCTTGCGGCTCAGCTCGTCAGCTGGCGGGAAGCTCTTGCCCACCTTCATGAAGAGAGCCGCGATCTTGTTGCTGCGCAGGAAGCCGGCCGCCCGCCGCCGCAGCCCATGCAAGACGCAGGCCTCCACAGCCGCTGCGGAGACAATGGTCAGCAGGCCCTGCCCTGCGCATGCTCCCCAGCACCCAGCTCAGTCACACAGGCACCTAGGAAAGCGGGGGGGGCCCCTAGAATCGCAGATGTGTGACATCATCACAGGGAAAAGCACGTATGCCTCTCCACCTTCAACCCCCTCAAAAGGGAGAAAGAGAGCTTAGTGGTTAACCCACACTCACAGCCCAAGGTCAGACCGCCCATCTCACATCCTTTCTTGGCCCCTCCACAGCTGTGTGACTTAGGCAATGATTTCCCCTTCCTGAGTCTATTTCCTCATCTGTAAAATGGGGACAGTATGAACATTAACCTCGTAAGGTTGCTGTTAGGATGAGGGGGGAAATGCATGAAAAGCACTTAGCACAGAGCCGGGGACCTGATGAGTGCTTTCTGATGGTTACCTAGTCCTCCTGTAAAGGGGGAGGGGAGACTGGACCACAGGACTGTTGAGCATCATCTGTGTTAAGGAACTGCATCATCATCATCACTATTGAGGCTCCAGGAACAGCTGACATGATAACATAACAGAACCCTGGAGGTGTCCCCAGTCACCTGAACAGAAGCTTCCTGGGGCTAAGACCAGGAGGGGGAAATTACTGCATGTCCTTCATTACGAGACACTCCAATCGTGGAATAAATAGCTCTTGAGGAGAAAAAAAAAAAAGAAACATGTGTGCTTGTATGTATACACTGATGATGAGCTGAATCCTGACTTCAGGGACACGCAGAACACGTGTCTCTCTAGCCGCTTGGAATGTACAGTAAGAACTGGCAGTGCGGTTATTTCTGGAACCTTGTGAGCCGAGCTGGTTCAAGGAGAGCGGTGAGTCACGCTCTGAGCCCTGGGCCTGCCTCTTTGCTGAGCCAGCTAGGCCGGATCCCTCAGGACCTCAGGCTCTTAATTCCGTTTTAAAAAAGTCCCCATCCATCCTCTCCTGTCACTTGCACCAGCCGTAGGCAGAGTGAGGAAAGGACATGGAGTCCAGCCCTCAGATGCAGGACCCCTGCTGCATGGGACAGGATCGTGTGAACTGAGCCCACAGCAGAGGAAGCCAGGCCTCCAATGTTAACCATGATTACCTCTTCATGGGCACAGAGGTCATGCTTAATTTCCTCTCTAGACTTTTCTGTATTTCCCAATTCCCTAATGAAGGGATCCAAAAATACCTTCCAAGTTACACGGCAAAATAATGCTGGGAGAACCTTGCTCAAACACGCCCTCCCCGAGGCAGCCCATAGAGGAAGAAGCCACAGTGTAAGGCCACGGGCCACAGACTCACCACAGAAGGAGATGATGTGGCTGCTGTCTTCGTGGACAAACTTCCGTGTGACGGCCTCCTCCATGATCTGCTTCACCTGGAAGGCAGAGGCAGCTGGAGGGGAGACGCCAACGCGGCCTGGGGTGCAGACACCCCCGGAGCCTTCCCAGGCTGGCTGGGGAAATTTTGGTAACTGCTTTCCTTCTGCACCCTGTGCACCGTGTCTTCTCAAGTCCAGGGCCTGTGGCCTGGGATAACTCCGCCCCTCACATTGTACTGCATCCTTCTTTCAGGCTCCGTGCACGGCAGTCTTCTTCTCAGTGTCACACAACGTATCATCTCCTTCCCTGACCACATTATCTGAGGCAGCCCTCCCGCCTCCATCCATCCCATTCTAGAAACAAGACTCACACTATTCCCACCCCAAGTGTTGTTTACTGTCTTCCTCTTCTATAATATCCACTGCCCGAGGGCAGCGCCTCATCTGCCTTGTTCGCTGCTGTGCCCGTGGAGCCTGCTGCATAGGAAGAACAGTGCCTGGTGCACAGGAAGTGCCCAATAAATATTTTCTAAATGAGAGGGAGAATGAATGAATGAACGAATGCACGAAACAGGTATATAAAAGAATCAGCAGGGTGTTGTATAAGGGTTCAGCCCTGGAATCTGGCAGACCTGGTTTCAAATCCCTAGTCGTCACTTGCCAGCTGGATCTGTGATCTTATTTGGGGAAACAGAGTCTCAGAGAAGTGAAGCAACTCACCCCGAAAGGAGACAGAATCCCAGCCTGCGTCTGACCCCCAGGCTACATGCTTTTCCTGCTAAATTCAGTCACTCAACAAATCCTTCAGTACCTCTGATGCGCCAGGCCGGGATCTGGTCCTGACAGGGCAGCTTTCACTGGACGGGGAGCCCCTCCAGGGAGGCCCAAGGCAGCACAAGCTAAGAGAGATGCAGGGACCCGCAACCAAGCATCAGTGGGAATGGGGTCAAATACAATGCTCACGCTCACCCAGACCCACTGAATCAGACTCGGGTGTTTACTAAGCCTTCTCCGTGATTCTCAAGCACTCAGACTGCAGAAGACTGGAGGGGATGGAGGAGAGGGAGAGTGGGAAGGAAGAGGAGCCGGGAGGATCTAAATGATCTCCCACAATCCTTAAGGAGCTCCTGTCCCAGGATCCTCCCACACAGCCAGCCCCCCTCTCCTGGCTTCTCCCTCACACCCGTTAGGCAAGGGGAAGTGCTGCTTTCTGGTGCTCCTTGCCCCCATAAACAGCAACAGGGTGCTGCGCCCTTCCTTGTCTCCTGGCACCCCTCGCCTTAGTCAATAGCCCCTTTATTAAAGTCACCTTAATTCACTGATTGGGGGAACCATCTGCTTCCTATTAGCACCTTGACTACACACTGTGTCCAGTCCACACTGCAGAGCAGGCTGTTTACAGCTGCGGGGCCTGGATTTCAGGAAGGGCAACCCTTTCTCAGTCACACAGCCCGTAAGCCTGCTACCGGGAGGAGCCGTGGCTGTCTGGGCCCAGGCCTCCTGGGCTGGGGATGGGTCTCCGGCAGTGGGTGCAGGTGGCACTGCAGCACCAAGGGTTCCAGCAAGTGAGGACTCCTCCCCACGGCTCCGCTGGCTCTTGCCATGGGTTAGAACCTCGCCCTCGTTAATAACAAGCCGACAGCCTGAGGCCAGGAGAGGAGATGGAGAAGGCAATGCGGACGGGAGCCCTCCCCGAAGGTCACCGAGTCTCACAGAAGACTGCACTGCCTCACCGCAGGAGGACAGATGCTGCTCCCCATCCCAGGGGACAGACCAGACAGACCTGTGAGCAAGGGAGAGCCATGTGAAGGACAAGATGTCAGGAGGCAGCTGGAAGGGGCTGAGAGCCGGAATGTGGAGTCACTGACCTGAGGTCAAACCCTTGGCCATCACTAGCTGCATGGTGCTGGACCAGTTTCCCCAGCGGAAATGGAGGCAGCAGCACGCCTACCTCAAGGGGCAATGAGAGCTTGAAGGAGGTCATGGAGACAGGACCTGCACCAGGCACCTGGTAGGAATTCTCAAACGGTAGGGACTCTTGAGCCGACAGTAACTGTTCAGTCCGCAACCTGGCCCGCAATGGATGTTCAAATCAGGGCTCGCTGGCCTGCGGGCCCGGCCCGGCCCCACCCCTCTGAGCTTGTGCCCTCCCCATCTCCAGTCCAACCTGGCAAACCTTTGGAAGGCAACCCCGCCCTCCCACCATCCCTCCCTCTTCCTGCAAATATTTAAACAACATAAAAGGAGGATTAATCTCAGGAGGGAGTTGGCAGGGAAATCCTGGCTAATATGCAGAGCAGGAAGGAAGGCTCCTGGGGCTCCCATGCTTGCCCTGTCTACGCCTCTCCTCCTTCTCCTATCTGCCACCTGCCCGCACCCAGGTCCCCTCATGCTGCCCACCTGGAACCCTGCAGGTGCACACTGCTGTGCTCATGCTTAATAAGCTCTGAAAGGAAGTAACATGGCCCAGTGTTCAGGGCTATCAAAAGGATTGTGGAAAATGCAGGCCAGGGGCCTAAATAGGACCCAGCACACGTTGGCACCATCTGAAGGAAGGCGCTAGTGCACTGAGTAAGAACAAGAGCTTGAGAGCCACCAGGCCCAGCTCAAACTCCAGCTCTGCCGTTGGCTGGGTGACTTCAGGCCTGTCTCCTCGTCTGTGACATGGGGATGAAACCCACACCACCTCTCAGGGCTGCTATGTGGGCCGAGCTCTGGGTGTTTTGTCTCGAAGGGTGTTTTCTGGCTTCTGTCTGAAAGAGCTGCAGACGATGCCAGTCTTTGCAGACGACACTCACCAAAGTCTCCTCTACCCAAACTGATAATCACTGGACCTGGTTTCAAAGAATGCAGGAAGGATATTGGAGTGGAATCTGCAGATGTTTTGTGATTATTTCTGATAATAAATTTGTCACTGTTTGTGAGCTGATGGCCACTTATACCAGGAATCAGAGGAAATCACCAGGACCCAACTAGAAGAATCATTAAAAAGGATCAAATAGATGCTTTAGCAATGGAGAAACCAACAGACACTGCCTCAGGATGATCTTCTATTAAACTTGGATGTTTTGGGGCCTTTTTAAAGTCTCTTGAGAGATTCTAAATATAAATTCCTGCTTTAAAAGCTTAAAACAAAACAAAACATGCACAGAGCTCAAAAAAGGATGGGAGCTCAGACCACCCTGTCTAAAATAGTGTGTCTGGCTTTACGCTCGGCCTGACTTTCCCACACATCTGTGGGTTTATCCATTTAGTGTCTGTCTCTCCCACGTGGATCTGGAGCTCCTAGCACAGTGTCTGGCATGCGGAAAGTGCTTAGTATCTGTTTGATGATCACTCTGATTAATAATACCAGTACCAGCAGCCAGTGCTTATGGACCTCGGCTCCAGGCAGTGTCCTAAGGCCTTCTGACCCCTGTATGTGTAAGGCCGGGTGGCAAACTTTTCCTGTAAAGAGGCAAACAGCAACTATTTTAGGCTTTGAGCTGGGGCTGCCAGGTAAAATGCAGGGTGCCCAGTGAAATCCAAATTTCAGATAAGAAAAGGAATTTTTTTCTCCTCTTTTTAGTATAGGTACCAAATGTTGCATGGAACACATGAAAAGATTTGTTGTTTTTCTGAAATTCAAATTTAACCAGGCACTCTGACATGTTATTTGCTCAATTTGCAAAAGTGTTTCCAATCATAACCATACATGTCGCATGGGCTCTGTTTGTTTGTACAACCCTGTGAAACAGTCAGAACTGCTCTTGGCTCAGGGGTGGTATAGAAGAGGCTGCATTTGGCTCACTGGGCCCCTGGTTTAAGCACCCAGCACAGTGCCTGTGGCACATAACAGACTTAAATAAACATCACCAAGCTGCCACCTGCTCCTCAGAGCCTGCTGCCTCAGCCCTGACGCAGGTGGCGGGTGCCTGGCAATGCAGGTGGGTGACTAATGCTGAGCCTGCACTGGCCTGTGAGAGGGAGGCCCCCAGGCAACCTGACTCAGGTTTATAAGAAATTCAGCTGGAGTGAATGGTTACAGTAGGAGGCCTGGGCGGCTGTGAGGTGGCTTTAAAAATAACAGCCTGTGGGGAAAAGAGGGGGATGACTCCAAGGCCTCTTGACAGGGCTAGAGTCCCTATCGTCATGGAGGTTACAGTCCAGCAAAATGTAAAGACATTAAGTAAATCACACAAACCGGTAACTACAAAATGAGACCCGTCCTCGGCAGCAGCAGAACTTGGTTCTATTAAGCAAATATCAATGGGAAACTGGGTGGATAGGTCAGAAGGCTTCCTAAAGGAGGTGAAGTTCAAGTAGAAAGGAACTCTGGGGCCTCAGTTTCCCCAACTTTAAAGCAGAGGAAGAAGCCCTCCCCTGCAGCTGCCCCGCAGAGCCGCCCTGGAGCCCAGAGGAAGGAACAGGTGCAGGGACAATGCGGCAGGGAAAAGCACTGCATGGAAATAGCGGGCGGCTTTTTACTTTTTACTTTGTTACGAGGGAGGCAGGCAGGAGGTGAGAGATAGGAGGGGCAGGAACAGGGCTGACGGTGGGTGGGGGAAATAGGAATATTTTAGGAAGCTCCCGAGCCTAGACACCAACAGACACGATACAGGGGGTGGGGGAGGATGGTGCCACCCTGCAAGCTGTGACTGTTTTCACAGTGTGGCCCCATCTTCCTTTCCTGCCAAATCCTCTCCCTTCCCCTTCCCACATGCTGAGCTCTGGCTACACGTGCCATCCGCCAGCGGGACCCACGAGACTCCACCCGCACCTTGCTTTTGCTGGCACAGTCCCCTCCACCTGATATTCCCATCCATCCCCACCTCCATCCCGAGCTCTGGAAAAGCCACCGAATCCTCTAGGACCTGGCGCCCTTCGTTTCATTCTCTCCTTAAACTTCCAAGGTTAACATTATCCCCACCCCACCCCCTTTATGGCTATGAGTATTGGATTCTGGAGTCAATCTTCCAGAATTCAAATCCCAGCTCTCGCACTCGTGATCTTGTCCAAATTGCATCCCTTCTCTGAGCCTCAGCATTCCCATCAGTAAAATGGGTGACATTAGTACT